ATTTTATTCTAATCGCCACATCCAATTCAATTCAGCCATTATATTTTCACAACGATCTTACTCGATTAATATAGTTTTTTACTTCCTCGACCTTCGTCTTGTAATTTTTTATTATACAAATACAATTTTTAATAGCAAATCAAATCCATTATCATTGATTTAAGTCATGTCGTTTTCAGACGAGTTGAACTTGATGATCGCTGTACCGGGTAATTGTACTTCTCATTGAATTTTGTGGAAATATTTCCAAAATATTTTATTCCCATTGAAGTTCCCAATAAGATTCCAATTGAATGAAATATACATTGGAGTACATTTCTTCTTATTGTTTAATATAGAATACAAAATTTAAATGCTGTATCATTGATTTGTGTAATGTAATTTCAGACGAAATAAGTATTGCAAAAACTTTACATGGTAATAAAAAATTCCATTGCATATTATGATCAAAGTGCTTGCATATAATAATTATTGTTTGATCATTTTTTTATGCATACAAGATTTTCATTTAAATTACAGGTATTGAATACCAACATTACAAAGAAAGTAGGTAACAACATTTTTTTTTTTTATTGCATATTATTTACAACATTTTATACATTTTCATTGTTTACATACATTTTGAGAATAATCATATGCGTACAAACATGATGGTTTCAATCATAAAAAAAAATATATATATAGGTATACATATAAATAGTTTTGTCTGAAATTTTAGAACGCAGATTTTACCAGCGGTACCTTAAAAAAATTGATATAGGTAATATTATTATGTAATTGTAAAATTAAAAAAAAATTTGAAAATTATACGTTTGTAGTTCTAAAGAAAAACTATAAAAATAAAACTCATGGCTGTATTGTGTTCTATGCTCAGGCTTACCCATATATTATATAGTATAGTAGTTTTGTGTTTAAAATAGCTTTTACTCGAATAATGCGTTGTCTAGATGATAGAAATAATTAAGCAGTATAAAAAAAGCCAGCACAGTGAAAGTCAGGGCATGTTTTTGCTCTGTAAAGTACCTTTTTAAACAGGATTTTGGATCTATTATGACTTGCTACATGACGAAATCGGCTTAGTGTGTTTTTTTCTACCTTGAGCTTTGTCTTCTCGTTTATAATAGAACAGAAAAGTAAATATCATTAATTTTTGTAATGTAATTTTAGAAGAAAAAAATATGCTGAAAAATTTACCGGGTAATAAATTTCATTGCATATCAAGGAAGTGTTTCCAAATAATTATTTGATGTTTTCTTTATGCATACAAGAGTTTCGTTTTATTTTCAGACAGTGAATTCCTAGATTACAAAAAGAGTAACCATATTTTTATACATTTTATATTTAACAATAAAATACCTATTTAAAACATAATATCCATATTTAGAATGCGCACGTTACAAGCGGAGGCTTAACAAATTAAAAAAAGGTAATATACTAATTAAATATAAATATTTATAAGCATTTTGTTATATACTTTGTTTGAAATTTTAGAACGCATACACTACAAGCGGATGCTAAACAAAATGGAAAAAAGTAATAATATATTAAGTAAATATAAAATTGATAATTATACATTTGTGGTTCTAAAGAAGAATTATAAGAAAAACGATTTGACCTCAAACTCATAGCTATATGTTAAAAATATAAATATCTATAAAAGCATTGTATTGTCTTCTTGTTCATAGTAGAATAGTATAATTAAATGCTATATCATTGATTTAAGTAATGTAATTTCAGACGACAAAATTATGGAGGAAACTTTTCCTGGTATGATAACATTTCATTGCACAATATATGGAAGTCATATGGAAGTGTTTCCATATAACTGTTTGATATATTCTTTATGCATACAATATTTTCGTTTTAATTTCAGATAATGAACACCAACATTACATAGAAAGTAACCATATATCATAATATTTACAATACTTAAAACATATTCATTGTTTATATATAAATACATATATTTTAAGAATATGCATTTATGCATAATGCATATTGGATTCAATCATAAGAAATATGTACATTGAAATATATTTTGTATTAAATTATAGTATGCAGACATTACCAGAATGTTTTCAAAACGGAAATGGGCAATATATTAAGTAAATATAAAATTAAAAAAATCGATAATTATCTATTTGTATCCGTTTTATGCTTAAGCTTTTGATGATCATTCGAAATATAATTTTAACCGTTTATTCAAACATTGCCGTAACATAAGATCTTTAAAATTTGTCTAGTAATACCATTTCATGATGGCAACTTTTGGGCTTAATGGTCTGTTAAGCTTGCACGATGATGATGATGACAATATTTGTCATTAATTAATTGGTCTAATCACTGTTTTATTAACGCTGTATAATGATTTAATGTTTAATGTATTTGTTACAGATCTTCCTGCTCCCCCATTTGATGTTGACCAAAGTAATTACACACACTGTTTTTATTGTTTCTCATTAACAGGGTCATTTTATATTATTTTCGCAGATTTTGGAGACTTAGATTTGACCGAACTTGCGACAGATAGAAGACACTATATTGAAACGGCTTTAATAAATATAATCGGCCGTGAATTAGGTAAATATTAATATCTAGTCACTACCGCCGACACATACTTAAAATAGCTAATTTGGGTAAATTTAAAATATAAAAAATTCAGATGGTTCGGACAATGTTAAACGGTTGTGTCGTTTGATAGCGTTGTACAATAGTACAAAATTCCCAAAATCATATATAAAAATTTATCAGACTCACTTTGATTGTACTTGTATCCTGTGGGATGGAAATATAGAAAAAAAATACATAAAAATGGACGGCAAATGGTGTCAGGTGCAACTACTCGAGGAACAGTTGAATCAGTCTTCTAAAATGATATAATATAATTATTGTCATTATATTGAAATAATGTTTACAAGTTGCACAAATATTAAAGTTGTCAATTATTTGTTGTATTTCACAATAAACTGATTTACTCACCATTATAATGACATTTATTGCACAATATGTAGTGTTGATTTAAACAGATTCTTAATTCATTTTTATCATAAAATTATACATTCGAAACGTTGTTAAAAATTAAAATTCACTTAACTTTTGCATCCTTCACCGTCTTTAGGCATTTCTTTGTCATTATTTATTCCCAGTATGCTTTAGGTCAAGGTGATATTTTATTTCCACAAGGAAAAACTACATTATTATTATTGTATGCATATCTGGTTAATTACAAGATTAATGTATGCCATCTTATGTTTGCAAAAATCAATTACACCTATTTAGAGGAAAATAATGAACAAACGGATAACTCTATAAAACATTTTAATAAACATAACAAAAATTTAATAATATCTATAATAATAATATATAATTTTTCAATATTATTTTATTACATATAACCGTAAGTTGCTTAAGTTTTTTCTTGATTAATATCCTTTGAATTAAATTACATATTAAGCACATTTACATTACCAAATGCCGCTTACGGTTTTTATGTATTCTATACTATGGTACTCGTAGTCGGTAAGCGTTATATAAAATAGCTTCCGTTTCCGGTACTTCCTGCCAACTTCCGTCGCCGTGTCTGAGAACTACTTTCCTGACGAGGTCCGTTGACGGTGTTTTGAGGTCGTACGCCCATCCGATCTTGGCGAACATGTCCCCTGCACACACTTCACAAGGCTCAAAAGTATAAAGAAATACCGGAAATATCTAAAAAAAAATATATATATAATATATCTTATCATAAAATCAGTGACTTAAATCAAGTATTTTCGTCTAATAACGGGAGTGGGCCGAGATTTATTTCTATGTTTTTTTATTTAATAAAGAAAATTTCTCCCGGGTGGTCACCCATCCTGGATCAAGCAGCAACGCACACAGCTTAACCTCAGATATATTGGATACAAGAATATTTTTTTGCTCTTTATCAGCCTAAAACAGCGACTAAAACTTTTTCAGTTTTTCGACATTCCAAAAGCCGTTTGAATGGACACGTCCACGTTTCGAATAGTAGCAATGTCTTTATTTTCGGTGACTGGAACGCTAATTATTTTTCAATTACTAATATGTATGAAAAATGTATGACCTCTGAGGTATTAACTAGTTGTACACACATCGAATGTTCTTGTTCCAGATTATATTTACCATCCGTGTTTATTCTGATGATATAAGATAAAAATGAATAATTAACATTTGAATTTATGCAAGTCACTTGCATTGGGTGTCGCAATGATATGATTATCCAGCATTTAGCAATTATTTTTTTTTTTTTTGTTAATTTGACACATTTTGTTTATTCATGTGATTTGTATCATAATTACTGGATCGACGAACTTGTCAACATTTTTTTTTAAATAATACCATTGATATTAAATATCCATAATCAATGTGAATACTGAGATGGAGTTTTGCCTACTTCTAAAATGTACTCACACCAAATATGAAAATTAAAGGTACTTATAATATAATATGTTATTTAAAACAAATAGAGAAATTTGAATTATGCTCGATGATATTTTAATTAAAACTTTCATTTTAGTTTACAGTATTATCATACTTGTATATTTATAACAAATATATTATGTGTATATTGATATTTGTTGCTTTGCCATACAATTATTGAAGTATCTAAGAAACTTATTTAAACTGTTTAATCATTTGTTTTTTCAGTATAATATGTGTATTGTGTATACTTTAGCCTGATGTAATGTAGTAAAATAATTATCCTCTGCTTAGTTCTAAACAAGTATTATCAAAAAAATAACGTGGAAACATTACAAAGGTCAAATGATTTTAGTGTGTACCGTGTCTGTGTTTTGTACTCGTTGTCATTTAGGGGTTAAAGTAGTTCACATTTTTCAACTATGACTGTGCTGGCTTCACACTATTTGCAGATTTGCATTTAACCGTTTTTTGATGATAGAATCGCATTCAGATTCAATAATTGCTTTGACCAAACTTTGCTAATCTCTTCTGTACTGATTTATACTGTAATTGGTTTGGTCTGTGCTTGGTTTGGGCATGTGCTTGGTTTAAACTGTGCTCTAGTGTCTTCCCTAAGTGGACAAACCAAGAAAAAACGACCACAGTATTCAAAATAGTTGAAATACTTTTGTGTCTCAAAAATAAGATAATTTTTCTTTTTTTTCTACTGTTCTATGAATTTTTACATTTTTTCTGGGGGTTTTCTGAGCGTTTTTATGGAGATCTCAATTTGAAGTATACACATTTTATTTAAAGATTTCTTAGCTTTTTGAAAAAAAATATTAGAAAAATTCTTATATTTTAGGCAACACGAAAAATACAACTTAAATCAAACTTGCTGTTTTAGAGGCTCTAGTTGTTATAATTAAAAATAGAGCTGTGATGTTATTATGTTATATCTGACGTTTGTAATAAGAGAGTATTTTTTGGTTTTTTTTTTAAAGATTATTATAATTAGAATGTATAAGAATGTCGTTACTGTTTTTTTTTTCGAAAAAGATTTGAAAATAGGTATTTTATTAATGTCTGTTTAATTTGTTTGTTTTTAATATTGTTACAGTAATATTTAAAAAGACTGTATTTATTACAATACTTTGCTGTAAAAAATATAGTTATGCTTATGGTTTTTTTTAAAATACCAAATGTATAAAAACTAAAATATAATTTATCTTCTATATCGAGGCAATTTGTTACATGTTTACTTAGTAACAATATAAGAGCTTTTTAAACAAACTATATTACCATTAGACATATTGTTATTATATTAAAAATTATACTATATTATTAGTCTGTTGAGTCGGGTTCTTTTAATTTCCGTCTTAGCTCTTCCCAAAATACCCCTCCTTTTTTTTTCTTTATTATTGCTGCGTTTCTCCTTTGTTTAGCACATTCCTTAATGGATAACATTAATATATTGCTGCAATGGTTTGTAAAATATTCGCCAAATATTTTTAAATCTATATAATCTAAAACAAAAAAAAAAACAATTTCCATTTAAATATAAATAATACACGTTATAATAACATTTTAACGAAATATAACGTTTTATAATTATCTTTGCAGTTACTCATCGAAGGTAGAAAAAAAAAACATTATTAATTTATGTGTGTAGGTAATGTTTACTTATTTCGTTCAATGATTGTGGATGGTCCTTTATGTACTTAAGCACGACATCACAGTCTTTAACGGTGTCGCCCATGTAATAGCTAAAATCAAACGCTGTAATGGTATCAACTATGTGATTATTTGTGTATGGGATGCTGACTAATTTTCTACAATCCTTGAAAGCATCTTCTATAATCTGAAAATTGTTTACCGATACAAAGTGTTTGATTCAATAAATAACAATATAATTTTATAATATAATATTTTATAGTATTATTTAAATTTAAATTAAACCTAAAAAAATAGTTGTTACTTTTTATGAATTTAGAACATATTCTAGTTATAGTAACAGGTGGGTTAGTGGGTATGCCAAGTACATGTCGCATCATTACAAGCTTTAACAAAAAATAGTATACTACATAGGTTTTGAAAAAAACAATTATTCGTATAAGATTTCATGTTTAAATAACCAAATTAAAAAACTATATTCAAATTATTAAAGATGTATACTTGAAATTTAAAATAAAAATGATTTTGTTAAGCATACATTATTTATTAGTTCGGATTGACAGATACCAACAATATTAATTATAATATCAAAGAATGATAGAACTTACTATTTAATCATTTACAAAGTAGTAAAATTTATAAGTTTTTTTTTTTTTGCTAAAAAAAGTCTTAAGTAAAAATATTAATTATATTGAATGAATTTACCTCAAATGATTAAGTAACGATTTTAACAATTTTATAACAAACAATGTTAATAATGTCTTTTATTTGTAAGTCTTCGAGGGGAACGGAAAGCATTTTTATTTGAATAACAAAAAAACATTATTGAAATAAGTAGACACTTGTACAGAAAGTGACTTTGCGTTTCAGTCTTTATTTCTGTCACTTTTCGTTCCCCTAAGCCAAAATAATAATAGTTTCTTAGATAAGAATGGCTATTTAAGAAAAATTTAACATTTATATTATAAATAATTCAGCAAAATACTGACAGAAACCTTATAGTTTTAAAACAATAGTATGAATAGTATTACCTCAGCTTCAGTGTTTTCTTTAGGATCAGCTGAACTTGAAGCTTTATGCCGGCCTAGGTTAATACAGCTAGCAGCTAGAATAAAAGATAGTAACAAAATAGAGAACATGATAAACGCTGCTTTATTCTAGCACTTATTATCATAGCTTAGAAAATCTAAGGTTATACGCTAAGTTGACAATATTTGTTCGAATCAGATGTACTTTTTTTAGGATTTATATACACAGATAAACCTAACAGATTTCTATATATATATGAGTATATATATATAAATATGTCTACATATTGTGTGGATTTTAATTTTTTCCCTGATAATAAAATATGTATGTCAGTTAATTATTTATTTTTTTAGACCATTGACTAAGCTTCAATCTTAATTTTTTATTATAATAAAGGTTTTACTTAATATGTAAAAAAAACTACAAATACCTAACTAAAATTTTCAAACAGTTACATTGTTTTAATATGTCAAAAATAGTTAATTTGTAATACAGAATACTTACATTGTATTTAAGCTAGATAACTTATATGAAACTTAAAACTCATTGGAAACATTAGAAAACTTAGAATAATATTTAGCTAAAGGGGTCCGATAATAACATTGTCTGCTCAATTAAATAACATGTTATTTTCGAACAAAGCATATTTTTAACATATTTAAATAAAATGTATTTCACACATTGCTTTTTTTCTAACCAACAACTAAATTCTATTTGATTTACCATTTTTCGAAGATGCATTATTGCCACACCTGAAAAGTAAACGTCCATTGTGTATATTTTACACACAAAAACTCTACTGTTTGATAACATTTTTTAACACAAATTTTAAACAAGAAATAACGTTGAAAAAAATTACTTACGAAGCATACGCTGCTAGACTAAGTAAAAGAATAATCTTGATATTCATCATATTAATATCGTACAGGTATAATATTCAATAAATTGTTCTAACAGAATACTGCTTGACTCGACTATATAATACCATAATATGCTGTGTGTCGATTTTAAAGACAAAATGTAATTATTCTTATACAACAATTGATCGACATAAGTTAATTTAAATCTGTTTTAGGATTTGTACACACAGATGTAGTATTGAGTTTTTATTTCTTCTTTGCTATGTCATTTAATTATTTACAACACAAAATATATTACAATTTTCATAAACCCAACCCTAGACGGCCAACTGCTATTTTCAATATTATTAATATTAGAAAATATATAAACAAATTTTGAACAAAAAAACTTGGAAAAATTACACAAGTCCAATGGATTTAATGTGTACCGTGTATGTAATTTTTATACATGGTTTTCTAGTTTAACATATTTTGTTTGATCACTATATGTTTGTATTAAACATTTGTAATTACACATAAATTACACAATATTAATTGTATCCGTTTAAATTTTAAAACAAAAGCAAAATTAGATTTAACCAGTAAGTACGGTAGAAACAGGATATAGGTATTCAGGTAAGGGGGTGGGGGAATCACATGTCTATAAGAATTATTACAAGATGAACAATATGTAAATTTAAGGTTAAAATTTAAAAAAAAAATCCATATAAATATATTTAATAGACATGTATCTCTTCGTGTTACTACTAACTGATAGGAGTTGCATTGCAATATTTTATGTTTTACTTTCATGTAAAAAAATTAAAATAAATTGCAAACAATGGCTTCGTTTTGATGTAGGAACAACATATTTTTTTAGACCGCTTTGGTAATTTTACTAGAGCTAATAATTGTGACTCATCTCTTACTCTTAACACATAATGACATGCAACAGCTATCCAAGTTCTGAATCAATTTTTCATTCAAACTTGATAGACTTGCTGATCGAGTAAATCAATTCGGTGGTTTTAAAGTTAGATACAGGGAAAATATAAAAACCATCAGCTGTGCATTGAAGTTAAAAATTACCATTTCCAAAGAACAGACAAAACAAATAATGCAATATTCGCTATGCGAACTTTTTGTCAAGAAACGACGATTTTGCCCAACACAGCTAAATGCGTTATTATTACAATAATTTTGGTCGTTCATATTACAATATGGTTAAATGTAAATAAAAGAAACCGAGCAAAAATAATAAAAAAAAAAAACTGTCGAGCAGTCTATTACATTGTTTGCGCTATATTTTTTTGCCATAACGCGCTTTAGGTGTATTATAAAAGTTGGAAATATTACAGTATGAAATTGTCTTCAAAACTTACCGGCTCTTTGTGAGAACTTATAGAAGTATTTTTTTTTTGTACACAATAATTACACTCGGTCGGGTTACATTCGTAGCAGTATTGTCTTAAGTATGCATTGCGAAGGAAAAGTTGTGATCTTAGTGGCTTTATTGTTTGTGGTTTTAGCAACAAGTCCAGGTAACGTCATATATTATGTACTTATAAAATATAAAATATATTTGCTCATGTTTAATTTTATTATTTATCAGTCATAAATGGACATCCTCCGGATTCAGGTAAGTGATCAATAACGTGTAATTGTACTCGGTTAAAATAGTATTTTTGTACAATTTATTTAGGTGTGGGTATTTTTGTTTCAAAGTTATCTCCTCACCAAAGAGGTATGTATTAAAATATTAAGTAATAAGAGCATATTTTTAGCAACATTTTTTTTTTTATATTTCCAAGTACCTACAAAACGTCATCAGTTTCACACGATATCGTCCAGTTGTACCAACCGTTTAGTTGTTGTTTCATTGTTGCCAAAATTAATTTTCGTTCACGTTACATTACACAACATTATTCATATCTATAGTTTGTATTGTCTAATGGACTATTATGACCAGTGCTGTGAATTTATGTATCATTTTTTTAACTAGATATAATACAACCTTGGATCTTTATAAATAACATATTAATCTGTATGAATGTCATGGAAACATGTATTTTTCGTCACTTTGTAGGAACTACATACCGAATTTTGTAAAATAAGCGTAACACATGCAAATTTGAATCTCTAGCTTTCAAATTCTTATTTAGTACATTATATAAGACTATAACTATAAATATACAGCGTTATTGCCTAAAATTATTGTATCATATTTGTGCACAACATTTTCTAATTCGATGGCATTTCTTGCAAACAATTTTTCGTACCCAAGTGCAGTTTTTTGGAATTTTTGAAGTTTATTAAATACAAGCAATATGCGATGCGGCTGTATGCATTTTTACCGTTGTATTAAAATTATTATCTTATATGTTTTTTCTGCCATAAACTTATTTTTCAGATATTAAAAAAGGAATTCAAAACCCTCCAGCTACTAACCCACCAGATGGTAAGCTATAATTTAAAATTAATCAATTATAGAATATATTAGTTGTAATTGAAGTAGTATTTATTTATTAATTAACCAACTAATATTATTAAACTATATTATAAAATAATAATTTATGTAATTTTTCGAATCTGCCTATTCTGTTTTGATTATTTTCTTGTATAATACTTGTACTTGTTTTATAAAGCAATTATTATAATGTAATTCCATCACCACATCTTGGTATAGCCTAAATGTCTATATATTGTATAGGTTTGTTTCATATATTTTATATATAGTCTATATGTGTATTTTATTTTCCAGTGGAACAAAAAGATCCAAAAAACCCTTCAGCTAACCTACCGGATGGTAAACTATAATTTAAAATTATTAATTATGTGATTTAATATTATAGATAAATTAGGAGTTATGACTGTACAAAAGAATAACAACAAAATAATATGTTCCTTGAACAATATGTCGTTAAAATTGAATGTGTGATAATTTATAAGGGATGTGAGTCTAATTATTAATTTATTAATAAAAAAAATGTATAGCTTTATTAAAAAAAATACAGATAGAAAACGGGTTCTTAGTATTTTGTGATGAAAAGAAATATTTAACTGTGGCTTGTCGATTTTTTTTTCCAAAAAAACAACGTTTAAGGAAAACAAAACATAAAAATAATGTTAAAAAATACAATTTTTGTTTTAGTTATGTTTTAATATAATTTTTCAGAGCCCTTTCGAGATCCACCACGTGAGTATAATAAGTACACAAACTTATGACAAGAACAACAAGTGAGGCCAAAAAATGGAAAAGTGACCTCTTGTAGCAAAAATCAGATTTTGAGTTATTGGCTAATTACAAATTTTGAACATTTTAAAACCAAAATCGCTCTCTTACCTTGAAAATCAGCCAAGCTATACTTGTTTGAATTTATTTTTTGAAAATGGGTACTTTTTTTTGTCGAGGAAAAACAATTTTAAGTTTTGAAACGTTACCAACTTTTTATTTTACATACTTGAAGAATGAAACTTTAAGCTAAAAATCAAAATAAAGCGCCCTTAAGCGGGTAAAAACGTATCATGTTTTTTTTGTTAAATAAATTTCCAACCCTGGTCGATATTTTGGCCTCTTCTGCGATTTGGATTCTCACATATATTTAAGTATAAAATATTTCTACTGTTAGTTATAATCTCTAGTAATGTAAAAAAAGCCATTTATTAAAATGTAATGTCGTTTTAAAATTTCAGAAGCGTTTGCATTTGAATAATACAAACAACACAACTTGTTATTGCAATCAGAAATTCAGAAATGACTATCTGTAAAAAGTTTTGTGTTAATCAGTTTTAAGTAAACCTATTTTTCAAACTATCTATTGTAAAAAAATCAAATCATGTTTTCGGGAAAAGTATTAAAATATTAATGTAATGAAATTTATGTGTGATTAAATAAAATTAACTTGGTCAAAATACAAGGTTTTATCAATAATAACATGTTTTTGAGAACCAACGATTGAAAGTTGAACCAATTATCAATTGCAACAGTTCTCAATATACTTTATAATATTACTTGGCTTATATTGATGTTGAATAAAGACTAAAGCTATATTTTACTATTTTTTAAAACATAAAAACTCTAACTTTACTTGAAATATATTAACAAAAATTTTACATTTGTCTCGAGTTAACATTTTTTTTTCGCATTGTGGCACAACTGGTCTAGAGGTTGTTAGTTGGTAAGCCTGTGACAGCCAACCAAAATGTTTATTTTTGTTAATATCTAGTTGTATTTTGTGTATAAGCATCGTACAGTGTATTATATAATTTAAATATTACATTGTAATTTTAGTCTAAAATAATCAACCGTTTAATTGATTTCTAAGAGTTAAAATAATAAATTTAATTGAATATAAAGTATTATAATATTACATAGGTAACTTCAACCTGTTGGCCAAGAACCACACCATCACATTTTTCTAGTTAATCTTTCTACACTTAAGAGGACTGAGAGCAACCTGACACAACTTCGACTACTTAGGATGGTCCTATTTTAATTCTGTAAAGAGTTTAATGAGTTTTATTGGCTTCTTTATTGAGTTTTGTCGAAAACGGGCTTTTTGCTTTTTTTTTGGGGGTAAAAAAAATTGTTTTTTTAACATTTTTCCAATTTAATTTATTCAAATACAAGAAAAAAGAATGTCTTAAACGAAAGTCGGTTTCCCAGCTGTTAACAATATGTTAATATGATATCTTGACCTATATCTGCTTTTTTAACATTGGATAACTATAATAATATAAGGGACAACTTTGATTGGTAAGTAACACAACATTTTTTTTGAATTTGCGATAAACAACTGTTAAACATAAACTATTAAATTTTGGCCGGACCGCTCTTTTGTAAATTGCAACTACCGACAAGTCGTTTATTATTACATTCGACGTGCCGGCATCTGTTATGGTTTTATTTTAATTTAGTAAAACGCCAAAGAAACACAGCAATGTGTAGATTTCAATGATCTGTAAATTAATAGATGTTTATTATGTTATTAAAATTAAAAAAACACCCACACAGTGCAGTTGTTTTAGTCCTTCTGTTCAACTCAAAAGTTAACACCGCCAAAGGTAATATTTTAATATATATATATTTTACGGATTTAACGTCGGAAACGGATTTTAGTATATACGACCATAATATTTGCAATACAATATTAAACTTTATTCAATATTAAAACTGGACAATATACAAATGTATAATAATAATTATAACTTAGATTATATTATTGTAGTGTATATTATATTGTCCGTTCCCCGTATTGGTCGAGGGAAACGCAAACGAGTTGACTAAATAAATTATAAAAATCTCATCAAGATAATAAAAAATAATATATATACAAACAGTTCTAACAGTATAAGCAATCCGTCTATCGTATTATTATTACTACGAGTACACAGACAAAAATATATAATAGGACAAACAAATATACTTATAATAGGTACGTTAAAGTTATGAAATATATGTTTAACAGTAGCAATATATAAATACTTATAACAAAATTAAAAAAAAAAAAAAACTAAACAAATAAAATACAAATTACACCAAACAAAACACTATAATATATACAACAAATATATAAAATATATTATACAACATAATATGTATCACAAAATATGCTAAAAACTAGTTAAAAAAAAAAAAAACAAAACAAATTACGCCGTGTAATAATAAAAACCTCAAACAATGTTATTAAAAAAAAAAAAAACCCACAAGCTCTTTGGACAAATTTAAACAGAAAAAAAAACTGTTAAAACAATGTTTCACTGTTCAAAAAAAAAAAACAATTAGATTACAATATCATAATATGAGACGAGTACATATTATTAAAATACATAATTACACACCTATGAAAGAGGTATTTATATATATATATATAAAAAGTTAAGAAAAACTTAAGCATTGAAGTTTGTTGACAAACCGTAGTAAACATAAATCTGTGTAATTAAATAATACACATTTTTTTTTTTAATATATATAGGTATATTGTTATGGGTTTTAAATAATTCACATAAACACTAGTGTACAATATTTAACACACAAGTCAAACTTAGTCAAAGTGGTCATGATTAGTATCTCTATTTGAAATGTGCTTTTAACTACTAATTGGACACACACATGTGTACAATTCAAAGATACACGACAAATTCATTTTTGTGCATTTTTTTTTTTCAACAAAATAAATAAATAATTAAAAACAATAAAATTAACAAATTGGTATTACGCAATAATAACGGCCTAGCGGCTTGAAATGTAAACAAATTTGACACGGTGTCGTAGGAAAAAATACTTTTATACGGTATATTGTATATAACATATATATGAACACTCATCGTTGTAGTTTAATTATTGGTTGAGATATATATTTTTTTATATTTAGTATATTATTATTATTATTTAAAACACGTTAAAATTATTTTTTTAAACAAAAAAGTTTCTCCCAAAGACTCGGTCAAATTATTTTTAAGCGCGATTCAGTCTTAAAAGTTACTAAAGAAAAAAAAAAAATCATAAACACTTTTTATAAGTAAAAAATAATTCAAAATATTAGCAAATATACAAATGGAAAAAATAAAATACAATTTTGATTTCAATTAAAAAAACAATATACAAACGATACATTTTTGGCACAATCCAATAGAAATAAGTTAATTATTAAAATAAAAAATAAAAAAACCAAATCATCGTTGTGCAAATTCACTACGGAGACGTTAAATTGTCAGCCCGTTGCTTTTGGTTTTTCTGTCCGCCGTCGGTTTGTTGTTTACGATGTACGACGCCATGCGATTCTTCGGATCGTACCCGTTGTGTTCGGGCGAAGAGTTTGACGACGAGTCGGAACTGCACGTAAAACAGTCGCTCATACATATGTCGCTGTTGCTGGGTCCGAACACATCGTCGAGATTGCCGCCAGTGTACGTTGTGTCCAGATCGACCGATTTCTTCTTCGACACGGACTGAGAATTAGCACGACTGCGTTTCTCGCCGATCGAGTCGCGGTTACGCGTACGGGCTTTGCCCACCGACCGCAGACTACTGGCGCGCCGTACCATTCGAGTGGCTATCTCGGACGGCTCTTCTTCCACCTCGAACACGTACGACAGCGAATCGTTCTTTTTCATGACGCCCATGATCTTGGCGGGCGCTTCCAAGTGATCGACTTCAAATTGGCTGGTCATCGTGTCGTCGTCGTCTTCGTCACCGCTACGATTACAAGTAATAATAAGGTAAGCACACTCTGGGTAAGATGGATTACTGGTTTTGGTGTGGGTATTTACCTGTTTTCAGAATTTGAACTTCCTTTACAGAGTTTCATAAAGTTGTTCTGCGCTTCTTTCATGGCCGCTAGGTCTTGCGGCGTTTGACCTACACATACATAACATATATGATATATTAAAAAAATCAAAATAAAATCATTGATAAGTTTTTGGGCTTAGACGACGATTGAATCACAAATCGTACTTGATTGAATCTGTTCTTACTTAGTCGTTTGGTCGATACGGCCAGGTGGTTAGCTACTTCCGTACTCTTCTTCAGTTTCCACTGAAGTTCTTCGTTGTGACACGACAGACGTTTCTTCTTTTGTTTTTCCAAATCGATTTCTCGAGCCATTTTGTCTCTTTCCAAACTTAATTGCCTGGAAACATTTAAAAAAAAAAAATTAATCCATCGTATCGTCTGACAAAAATAAAGAAATTATATTGAACGAGAAACAACGGTTAATTTTTTTATAAAATTTGCTCACATTTCTATTTCGGCTTTCCTTTGCAACTGAACATTCAAGTCTTCGACACGTGTCTGGGCAGCCTCTAACTTTTGCAAAATTGCCGGCAATTCTTCGACTTCTCTTTGTAGTTTTTCGTTTTGCTTACGTAATTCTTGCATTTCCGAACTTCTCAGCTCCAATACGGTCCTCAACGATTCGGCTTCGTCGCAGAGTTTTTGGTAACCTAAACTGGGATTCTAAAAAAAAACAATTAGGTTACCAGTTTAAAAACTCTGTTTGATGGAAATTTAACAAAAAAAAAAAAAAAAATGACAAAAACCAGTACCTCAAGTTTTCTGGCTTCTATTAACCGTTGATTTTCTTCCGTTAACTGATCCTTTTCGGACTTGATTTGGTCTCTCTCGCATTCCAACGACTTGACCCTTTCGTCGAGTACCGTTTCTTTTTCCAATGCCGTTTTTTGCAATTGACACAAGTCCAGTTTGTTGGTCTGTTGTAGGGCAACGATTTGCTGATCGTGGCAAAGGATTAATTTCATCTTTTCTTCTTCGGCATCGTTCTTGACCCTCGTCAGCTGTTCGTCAAACTGCAGCCGAAGATCGTTAGCTTGTTTGTGTATTTTTTCCTCTAATCCGATAATTTCGGTATTCTTTTGACAAGTAACTAAAAAAGATAATTTAAGAAGAAAAAAATATTAGGTATAACAAGACACTAATCGGATGGAAAAAAATAATAATTTAGAAGACGTCAAAACTTACCGTTGTCGATGAGCTTGTCCTTGTCTTGCAAACAACTTTGGTACTTTTCGATTTCTTCTTGGAGCTTGTCGATTTCTTTTTGATACTGTTCACACTTTGCCTGGGATTCTTCTACAAAAAAAAAAAAAATAAACGTTATTTAAAAAAAATATTTGTTGATTATACAATGAAAAGCTTTCTCAGTAGGTCAATATTTACACACAGTTTAATACAAATTGTAAAAATCTGATTCGAATAATTATTAAAATAAAAATTTCTCGATATTTGAACAATTTTCCCACAATTAATTTGAATAATAAATTTGAATATTATTCAAATAATTATTTTTAAAATTATTCGTATAACTTTTCCACAATTCATTCGAGTAAAATATTTAAAAAAAATAATTGCTTAAGGGGATTGCATGTGGTCTATTTTTTAAGTGTTTTATATAAGAAATATTTAAGAAAAAATGAAGTTTAAATAAATTTACCGGTCAATTTTTATAAGCTTCGAGGTATTATTTTTAATTTAAATCATTTTTTTCTACAAAGAAAAGCCATTTTGGATTTATTTTAGACCTAAAAATGCCAGACAACATTTCAACTTTAAAGAATGGTCCAATTTCAATTTTGTATAGAGATTAGGGTTCTTTGGGTACTTTACTATGTTATGTGGGAAGCCGATTTTCATTTGGAATTTCAAGTTTTTTGTAATTTTTTCAATATTAAAACCCAATCTTATTAAAATTAATAAAGCAAAAAATCAAAAATCTGTTTCCTACAAACATAAACTAGTAAAGTTGCCAAAGAAATCTTATATCTTTACAGCATTGAACCCGGACCATACTACCGAGTAGTGGACATTTTGTCTGGCTTATTAATGGTATAAAACGTCAAAAAGCTGTTAAAACAATATGTTTAAAAATCATTAGACTAACTTTGTAATCGAATAACGTTTTTACTCGAATAAAATGTGTTAGCCAGATGCACAGCTCTGAATACACTACACAAACCGTTTTAAATCTAATCCATTTACTAACTCAATCTTTTCCATACATATAAACATTTAGAAATATTCTCACAAACGAAGCTATTGGCCGCCATATGAAATGTGGTCAATGTTTACATAATATTGTGTTAACAATATTTCATTGTGGTATTGAGATAATATAAGGTTTACTTACAGCTAAAGATAGCCGACTAAGAATATTAATGTTGAAGTCAGGTAAATGGCCGACTTTTCTTATCAAAGAGCCCATTGTTTACATATTATGATAATGAAGATGAGTTATATAAGTTATCATAGTAAAATTAGTTTTAAGAAATTTTAATTTCAATACGCTTGACTTATTATAATAATATACCTAGTTTTGACTTTTAAATAATTTGTTTTTTCAACTAAAATACCAATTCCAAAGAAAAACTTTAAATTTATTTAACGATTAAATTAAATACAATTTGAAACGACTAACAGAAAAATAGAGACTTTGGTAATAAAATCATAGGAATATTACAAATGATGTATTTAAGTATAAAAAATTGAAATAGAAAATAACTAAATAACATAATATAATTTGTATATATACTTACCCAACGCGCTTTTGGTGGACAGTAGATCTTTTTTGCTGTCTTGCAACTGTTGCTTGAGTATCGTCGTAGACATAGCGTCCATCTGAAACGGATGGGAGGAACTAATTAAATTACATTTTTTTTTCATTACAAACACAAAAAAATTATACCAAGTGATGAGTGTACGCGAAGAAACTTAACATGGTAGAGTTACAAGAGGTGACAATCGTTTTGTGTGTGTGTGTGTGGATTTTTGCTATCATTCAAAAAACACACGGATAGAGTATTTTATTATATTTTAAATAGACAATATAGTGTAGTGACACGCGACACAGGTTAACACTACAACAATTACACTATTATTTTGTCAATCGGATCTCGGCACGGCCCTTTTCTTCGATTATAATTAGAAATCACCGGTGTATATATATATAGCTAGCTAGCTATATAATAATAATAATAGAGTGTAATGTAACTGGCGACGGCCACCAAACACACAGTGTACAACCACCGCTGCTACCGGGCATTGCTGAGCTGCTGGTCCTCTTGGGTTTTGATGAATGACACCACCACACCACCACCACCACCGCCGACCGACTGCGATGATGATGACACCGGAACAGACAGGCCACCAAAGGATCTCTACCATAAGGATCTATTGTTGTAGCGCACAAGGTAAGCCATAAGAAATCATACGAAAATAGAGTATTTCTCGGTGCCGGAAACGGCTGCGACGAGCAAAGCGACACCGCCATTCGTCTGTGATGTATCATTTAAATTAGTACGCTTTGTTTATTTACAGTCTTTTATATAAAAAAAAAAAAAATCCATCTCCTTAAAAAAATATTCAAGATCAACGTCGATGACACTGGCGGATGCGACCACCACTAATGTAGCCCGCCTTTGTAGCATATACAGGGTGTTCCCCACAAAGACAAAGAGTGAATATATATATATATATATATATAGATTAATTTATACTCATTTGCGCTATAAACACCACGGTTTGTATTTTGATTTGTTTTAAATTTAAAATAACCATTTTAATAAGAATAATGTGCCGATAATTTTGACTGATCGACAACTAGTTTTGTGGATAATTATCTTAAATTAATCTTGATTTTTTTTTTAATGTAACAAAACTAATTTAAAAAAGTAAAACGGTTAAAAGTAATACAAACACCAAACAAAAAAAAAAATCTTAAAAATATTCACTAGAACAGAATAGTCATAGTGGGACACCCTGTATCTGGTCTAAGATTGAATCGTCCACACGTTGTGTGCATAATAATAATATAATAACAGATTGTTTTTATTTTTTTAAGTCATCGAAATCTAATGGGTTAAATCAAATCGACAAAATCCAATGACGAGGAAACAAAAAAAAGAAAGGCGCATATTCACATGATCGGTAAGTATTTTATACTAGCTAGAATATTAAGGAAACCAGCAACCGTAATAATAAAAATATCTTATTCTCTACCAGCTCTCTCGGTTCATGAACTTTATACAAGAAAAATCCTAATAAAATATATTCAAAAAAAGTATCTCCTTAACGCAGAGCACACACGTTAGATAGGAGAATAGGATTTTTTGTAAGAACTTAAAAAATTTCACAATTCGAATAATGTGTGGTGACACTTTTGCCGTTTTTTTACCAATGGTGTAATTACTATCAATCATTTTTTATGTGAAGAAAGCTATTAGTAAATATAGTTAATGAGCAGTTGTGAGAATCTAGTGTTGGCATATTATATAAATGGCGTCTATCTGTATAATGCGATTAAAATTATTATCTTAAATATTGCACTGGTCAAGTTTTTGTTTGTACACAATTCAGTAAAATAATTAGAAGAATATATAACCTAATTTATTACAATAACAACAGATACGAGCATTGTTCGGTTTGCTCTATTTGTATATGAGCAGCTTCATTGTATTTTTTTTTTGTTATTATAAATATACAATGACGTTATAATTATTATACTGAAACAAATAAATAATATGATAATAAACGGGACTCGTTTTTTGACTGATTGGAACCCACCCAAAGGGAAAGGAGGAAAAATCTGTAAAATAACACACAATATGAAATATAGCCCAATCCTCCGCCTGTTACTATACGCCTGGTTTCTATAGCCAATACAGGTCGCATACCTCTTCTTCTTGTGATGTCTTATAATAGCCGTCTCTTGAAGAGAAATAATATAATAAATGGCAGTGTAAGGGCCATCGTCTGACTTGTCCTTAAAATATATATGTAGATATAATAACTAATCAATCCTGTTTAACGCAATATCCTGTATGCAGTTTGATTGATTTCATGTATTATGCGGTGGTTGGCTGGTATATTATTACAATAAGACTGATGATGGATAATGATGATAATAATTATGCGATTGCCTAAGACATAAATGTGATAAACGTCTAATCATTTTTCTATTGACAGCGAAATATGGGTATATACTATTATTAGTGATAATATTTATACACACATAGTTTGATGCGAGAGAAAATATAGCCAAGTCTGCAAGAACGTTACAACCATACCCACCTGCCTTGTCTGTGCTTTAGGCGAATAACGGTTTGATGAATGAATTCAATGAGTTTTTAATTTTATTTTTTAGGATTGGGATTTTTATTGATATCAGTTGACCATTAATACATTATAAACAACACATAGTATAATATTGTGATTGCTTTTCCTGACTTTTTTGTTTTTCACAATCTGACCAGAAGAACCGCTCGTAGTAGAGTTACCTGCTTATATTTTCTGAACGACGCAGCAAGTATAAGAATGTATTGATTGCAATACCCATAGGGTTTATTGCAAGTATATATATTTATAATAGCGCGCACAAACAGGTTTTTCAAGCTTTTCAAAGGGAAACCAGTTGTAATTAAATGCGTATTCCATATTATATGGTACAATAGGTATACACTGTCTATTCCCAGGAACAACAAAATATGTCCTAATAGATAGCGGTTTTTATATATATATATATATTTCTTTATGCCATCCACCGACGACGGACCATCAATAGGAAGACATATCGTAGCATATTTTATTATGTTGCCATCGTCTCCATCAAGAGCACCGACCTCTCTTGGCCTTTGGAAGTTTAGAGGCTCTAAGCAAATGCCAACAACCTAACCTACCCTAACTTCAGGCATAGCCCACAAATAAAGCATATAAGTTTTACTGGAATTCCGAGGGAGCTTTTTGAGTTTTTAAAAGGTCTGAACTTCCTCAGCCCCCTCTAAATGCCCCTGGGAATATCAATCCCTACCCTGAGTGGGGATTATACAACCGTAATGATAATATAATATTTGTGTTCTCACCTCGTTAACCAGATAGTTGGCGAATATGGCAAAAGCTTCGAAGCCTTTGGTGGCGTGCAGCAACCTGGCTTCGACGGCCCGTTGCCGAGATAGAGCATCGTTTCGCTTGTTCTGAGCTAAGACGGTGGTCTGAGGTGGTTTGTGTTGGGCAGCAGCAGCAGCAACGACAGGTGCGGTCGTGGGAATGGTGGCAGGAACTTTGGCCGTAGCTGCTGCTGATGCCGGTGCTTTGCCATTGTTGACATGAGGTGCAGTCGTCGAGCCTCCTCTGCCTTCGGACGGTTTTGCCACCAAAAGATTATGCTCTGCAAAAATAATGTCAAACAATTGTAGGTTGGTCGGTCGGTACTTTAATGTAATGGCAAGGAGGGAACTAGTAAGAACAGTGTAAGTATATTATTTTATACAACAGTCGACGGTTATCGTCTTTGACCACATCAAATAAAAGTTGTCTGTAAGAGACCTTCTTAGTGCTAACTATTACCAGACCGAAAATAGTAGTTCAAATATACAATTCAATCGTTCATTTGTACAATTTTAGGTCCGATAAGACCTAGAGATGAAAAAAAAGATCATAAATGCCGGTTTTTATGTCGGGCAGCTCCTAATCGGTATTGTTTCAGTGAAAAATTTTGGTTATTAATCAATATTAAAAATATTACATTACTTTATTTGCGCCAGTTCTACCTACTTACATTTTAAGGGCGCCGACGAAAATACTCTAACGATACTTATCAATTGCACGTTTGAAATATAGCAAGCAGCGACAAAATTAAAAATATTTTAAAATTAATACAATTTTCCAGCCGTTTACATTCAGTTTACCACGACATCTATTTGAATGTTTCAAAATATGTAACTGGTAGACTTTAGAAACGATTTGCTTGATTGTCGATGAAGTTAATTGAAAAAATGTAATTTTTAAGCACAGCTGATAACGATGTAAATAAGAAGCTATTCGAAAATATATTTAAAAATTTAATAGCGATATTTAAATGTTTATAGTTTTAAATGACAAAACGTTACTAAAATCTGGCCAATTTTTGCACTTAAAAAGCCATTTGGTGATGAACACGAATAGCTATTTTTGTGCAGTGTCAGTGTACATTGTTATGAACTAAAAACCCATCTCCATAATTTATTTTAATAATAACAGTCAATGCATATATATAGTGTAGGTCTTAACCAGTCGGTAATAAGATAACTCACGTGTACATATATTATACAGGACACACAACAATAGCGTTAGCTGAATAATAATTGATAATGATTAGTTATCGAAAACAAACAGTGGACGTTGATTAATGTGTACAAGAAGTAAAACAAAAATAATAATAATCAGGGGCGCATACTTATTGTGGAAAAAATCTTATGTATGCTCTTGATCATGGCGTCGGTGATTTACTGTGCAATGTTGTTGTGCTGGTGTAAACCAAAATTTAAATTTTACTCCAAACACAACGACGAACTAACAACACTATATTATAGTCTACAAATGATTTTCAAATAACACTGTGCTCAGTGTATAAAAAAAATAACTTGTGGGTCTTTCATTCAAGGCAAACAAACACTATGTATACAGGGGGAGTTCAATAAATCTACATGTATTATAATATATGTTTTTACAGTTTGCACAGTGGGAATTTTGATTTTTTATTCAAGATAAAGAGGTATAATATTAATACTGAAATATGTAATATGTAAGTATATTTTGGCGTTAACCGTGTACGAGCCAAGCTGTATATACTTGCGCACATAGCACTTGAACAAATAGTAACACGTCAAAGTAGATGTTTTTTGAAATGTAATAACGCTGTACCATTCAACTGAATGTTCACAAATAATAACAGCCAAAACAGATCCAACGGTTTTGTGTGTACTTATCAATAATCATTTTGTTTGTTCCAGTTTAAATCCAGGATTAAACCCCAATTTGGAAACATAATATTACAACTGCAAACGACGACAATAATACTATCAACTTCGGTGAGTGTTTTCAATTAATACTATTAATGATAATTTTCATCAGTGTAGACACATCGTTTCAGAATAATGGTATTTTGATTCCTTGATTTGGACAACACTGTTGTCGTGGGGGGGGGGGGAATTCTGAGTCGATAAAAAAATTCGTCAATTTTGTAGTAGTTGGTATTATCGAAAGGAAATTTCGCTTTTATATGTTAATATGATTATGATAAAAACTATTAGTCGAGGATTTATAATTAATGTCATTCAAACACACGTGTAGTGTTCGGTCAAAGACTTTGAAACTAACCAAGCGCATTAATTCTGACCGAAAAAAAAGAAAGTGCTTATTATAATATATTATGTTTTTACAGTTTGCACAGTAGGAATTTTGATTTTATATTCAAGATAAAGAGGTATAATATTAATACTGCAATGACCCCGTCCAATATATAATATACTGTTGCTGTACACGCGACCCGGTCACAGTCATGACCTAATTTCTTATTCCCAAAATCGCATTTTTCCACGAAATAAACCTAAACTATGTCGTTTTGACTTGTGTCTCAATAATTAGCACTTACTATTATTATAAAACAGTCTATACCAGCAACAACTTATCCATAACATAAATCACACTGCAGTTTGTATTTACTTACAGAGGCGGCTTGAGCTTTTTTCATAATTGTGTGTATTTTATATACTTTTCTTTTTCATATTTTTGTTTTTATCTACCCCTCGAAACGTGTACTCGTCATTTTCGACTACATCCATTTTGGCGATTAGATTTTAATTTTCTACTCATTTCGTTGATAACAATTCTCTATTCAAAGTTTCAAGCGATACAAATCAAGTTAAGTTGGCGGCTTGACAAAAATCGTTTTCATGTAAAATTATGAAAAATTCAGACACAGCTGAAATGACAAAGTGCACCATCTGGTGTTATCTAATCTATGTGATTATAATATTGTCAGTTGAAAAACGCTCGAATCAGCTGTAGACATTGGACAATTGAATTCATTACACTGTGAAAATATGAAAATATTAATATCGGTTTGCGTACACACACCAGTGACAATATTGTACTATTTACAAGACAACTGTATTGCCTTAAGACACAATTTTTATTCCGCAACATGTTTGACGGAAGTCAGGTGATGCCTGATGGTGGTGGAAGCAAAAATTATTTTCAGTTTGTTAGACTATTTTTAAAGACAGTCAACGTTTCTTAGGCCTTGGCGTTGGGAATTGGCCAAGACCCTTAAGTCACTGTCTCGGCGGACACACGGATGTCGTGCACTGCGGAAATTACAATAATCCAGAAAAAAAGAGAAAAAAAAATGAACAGCAGTGATTTATATAATATAATAAAGTCGGTTCCATTAACTTAACGATGTCCATTATCTTTATGGACCGGTAAATTACACACACACACCTTTAGGCCGCCGACCAAAACCGCCAAATAATAAATTTACCAACATATTATTATTATTATTTATTTTTAAACACTTATTGTATCTATTATTTTCGAACTCGACAAAGACAACCGCCGCATATATCCTAATAAGGCAACGGGTCATATAACGGAAATAGTTATTGGTAATTATTCTTCTGGTAATAACATGTAAGACGTCTGTCGAGTCCTTAGGCTGTTTGAGATGTTTGTTTACATTTTTGACACTCTTCACAATACCAAAACAATATCGTGATAGCCGTTATTGGTATCGTGTACACAATACAAGAGGGGCGGCTCTAGGCTTGTCGTTAATTGAATATGAATATTAATGAGTACAGTGCATAATAATAATACTTCACGCTGGTTAATTGTTATTCAGTGATATAATTTATACACCATATTTTGTGTAACGTGATCTCCTTGTGGGCTGTGAATACATTGAGAAAACTCGACAGGTCGATAATATAACGATTCAAAGTCATACAAATAATAATATAATAATAGGCCGTCCGTTTGTTGGCGTTTTAAAGCTTAGCAAGTGGAAATTATGAAATAACCTGCTCGTTTTTTATTTCGAATAAAATTTAATATATTATATTACCTTCGAATAACATTGAAAATTCAGCATTTTTTTTTTGCTTCTCACGTTCCAGAAACGCGTACGTACACACAAAGTACACATCATGTAATATTTTTTATGTCAATATGATTGTCAATAAAATACAGAGTTAAAGGAGACCTAGAAGGCATTTTTACATTTAAACGACGGATTAACAACAGATAAACATTTAAAGTATAACGTAGAAAGTTTAAAGCTTAGGATCTCCTGCTTGGCACTGAACAAATGATCATAAGTTTGGAAATAATTGTTCAAAACCGGTTATCATCAACCAGTCATAATTTTTAGTACATATTCTCAATTTTGCAGTTCAGAAGGCGGTAAAAACCCCCAAAAAAATGTGTTTTTTTAGTGATCGCATAATAGTATCTCAATGAAAACATGTCATACCTGCATACGCGATAAAGAGATATTTTCCATTACTACACTTATCACAGATAACTCAATATAATGGTGTGCTATTTAAATTGATCTAAGAGTTGTAATAATTATATACAAACCGATTAAACTACAGTGTGATTGTTTATAATCGATTTAAGTGTAACAACAGTTTTTATCTACAACTATCTATTATTGTACTCTATCAATATTAAACACCACACTGATAGCATTTTATGTAGCTACACCATAATAATAATATGTACAAACTACAAACGACATTTATATTTATTATTTAAACGTTACACGGTTAATTCTATATTTTACTCGGTTTACTATGTTTTTAATGCTTAATAATAACTTGGATATTTATTTTTAAAATCCGTCCCAAAAACATAATATTATTTTTAATGTAATTTTTTTGTGGCAATAAATTCTACGCGCAATTCGCCCAAATATACCACACCATTATTTAATTTATATATACATATTAAACTACTCTCAACACATTTATTAAATTGCGTCATAAACTTTGAGACCCAGAGCCTGTGTGTAGTGTATTTTTAGCAATAATCTTTCATTTCTCGGTTCAGAGTAGTACACAGTTATAGATATAAATTATATGCCTGGCAATCGGCCTGAAGACCATTTAATTTTTCTCCATATTTTGTATAATTAACACATTTTGGCAAACGTTTTGTATCACATGTTGGCGAATTAGATAAACACAAAGCATATGGTAAAAAATTAAAAACACTTTGCGTTAGAACGCATATAATAATTGTATCTATTTTAATAGAAGACAAAAAAGAAACTCGCCCCACAATTCATGTAAAGGCGGATAAGGGCAATGCATGATTTTGAGAAATTGAGATACATTTTGCAACAGATACCTACCTATTTAACCTAAGACTTAGGTATAACTACTTAGCCTATAACCTTAATACTGTTAGGCTAATTATTAATGCTTATCTGGTGAGAACGGCTGTTAGTAAGATAATTATTAAAGCTAAGAATGGGCAAAAATGTGTTATTCTCTTCTGTACTTGACTTTGTTTCAAAAATTAGATAGTTTCAAGGAATGTGTGAAAAACCAGCTTATTTATTTAAAAAAATGAATTATTCAAAACAACAACAATTCGCTTTATTTATTCAATTTAATTTACAAAATTTTGTAAACAATTTTTATAAAATGAATAGGTAATTGAAAAATTAAATTTTTTGGTTTTCCCCGTATACATAACTTGAAATTCTATTCAAGTATGTAAATTTTTGGATTTTGAATATACCGCCTTTTTTTTAATCATGCATTTTATAATCTGGTTCCATTGGAATAATTAGTATATAATTTTATATTGTACATATCAAACCTCTAATAGGATCTAAAAATATTTACTGCCATATTTAGGGTAAAATTACTCCGTTTTAATTGATAGTTTAGTACCTAAGTAATATATTCAATAAAAATAAATAATTAAAAATTAAAATTATATCTTTTAAAGCCATCATACTAGGCTCATTCATTTTAATCATTGAATAGATAAATAATTAACAACAAATAATGACTACCAAACAATATGTATCGACAGATATCACAATATATAACATCATAAGGTTTTAAGTTGGTTTTAACTTAAAATAACTAAAATATACAAAATGGAAAAGGTCGAATCCTAAGATAGAGAATATGATGGGAACGAAACCTTAGTTCACACTTTATTTAACAAAATTAAATTTCGAATAAAACTATTATGAAACTATTTAATAATTTATTCATCCGACCAAATCAACGAATTATGTAAGGAAAATGGAAGCCGACTGGTTTTAAGAAGTTGTCCATAGGCGATAAATAAGATAAATGTGGTTTTAACAAATGTCAACCGCGTTAATTAATTTGTCTATTAATTTATGTAAGCTTCGAGGTGTTATTTTTAATTTATATAATTTTTTCTACGAGTAAAAGCCATTTATGTTTATTTTGGACTTGATTTCTTATCATCGAATCCGATTTACCTGTATAATATTATTGTCTTGTGTTAAATCTGAGACAACCTTCTCACGGCCAATGGCGCACAGGGGTTTTACAAACACAGAGCAGTCATGCAGTAAGATAAAATTATACCTACCCCGCCAACCAAGAAAAATGTAGGTAACATTTTTTGAAATTCATATATTTTAGTATCATCTCGACGAGATCTTTATAAGAAGCGGCATTTATTAACCAAAATGAATACATTTTTTTTTACATTACTTTTTTGGCTAAGAATTAAGACACATATAAGCAATAGAAAAATAGAGACATGTACATCTTATTAGACTGGTTCAAAATTTTTTTAACCCTTTGGTAGGTGCACATGCAGGCGCATTACATGGTAAGCAAAATAATGGGCGCCACAGTGTACGCTTTCGATTTCCCCAACTAGCGCCGCGTACATCATCAGCTTATCACGGACATATTATTATTATCTTACCCTGTTGTCTGGTTTTCCGCCTGTGTAATCGCAACGACGACCATCGTTGCAAGTGCGGCGGCGGCGAATCCGACTTATCGGAAGAAGAGGTAAGCACTATGGCGGCGGCGGCCGGGACGGAAACGATGCTCGGCCGGCGGACGTTTGGCGCATTTTTGCCATTGTTGCCGCCACCGTGAAACAGAGCCGTGAGTTTTCCCAAAGTTCCTACCATTGCCAAAGAAGTAGAAAATCTCTTGTCTTGTGATATTATTTCTTTCATAAAAACATTCCCACACAAAAAGACCAACCGCCGTTTGCTACTTATTTATGGGAGTCTCGAATGAACACACACACGCTGGAAATATTATAATATGATAATGCAACAACAATTGAATAGAAATATATTATTTTATTGGCCGTACACGTTTTGCCGGAGACCACGTTAGGAATCATTGACCCACGATCGTGCGCGGTCGTCGGTAATTACCCACATCCTCTGAATAAACGATAATGTGTCCTTATGGCGGCGGGCAGGTGTATAATATAGCAAAAAAAATTAAATTTTGAAAAATGCCTCGAAAATCGACCACTTTATCAACGACGGCTAAGTGCACACGCTTGCATCCGTCGAGATATCATCATGGAGTAGGTGAAAGCATCGTATATGGAGAAAGGACCTCCTCGTCCTCGGTCAAGCGGTTTTATTAAATATATAAATATTATATGTTAATATGATGACGTGTGCACCGGCGGCGGCGGCGGCACGGTATGTTTGAAACTATATTATTATGATATGATGATGGCAAAACGATTAAACAAGAAGAATAGTAGTCGAGACAAATCCAAGACGGTTGCAAAAAAAACTAATTTGCCGGTGGAAATGCGAAAAATGTCATCTACGGCAAAAGCCACGGTGGACGACACGGTAGGCCCACAAGACGATTGGCTAGGAAAATTATAGGTTCTTCCTTACACACGAGGGTCAACCCGACACACACACACTATGTCCGTGTACGTGATCCGACAGCGAAAACGATACAATAATCCCATTCAATGTGTGTGTGTGTGTAGCCGGCCGGTTTCTTATATATTCCATCAATGGGGACCCCGTCGAAGCAGCAGCAGTAGTGAACAACGCCAAATGTTACATACTATTGGATTTCGGCGGACAACACACGCGGACTTAAGACGACGACGACGAAGACTAAGTTTGGAGAAGAAGAAAAAAAAATGATTAAAAATCACACATCACATCACATCTCTCGAAGAGGAGAACTTCCGCCATACGGACCGGCTACTCCGGCTATAGTGCGTGTACTGCCCGACCTTCGAATGCTAAACCGTCGTTGGCAACTATTCTACACACACACACACACTCACATCAAGTATAATAATATTATACACACGTATTATAGACCCCGCCGACAATCACCCACAACACAGTGATGGCCAAACTTTGTTTATAAATTGATGTTTACACTGTCTTATCAAACGATTTTCTTTTGTATACACCGCCTGCAGCCGATCCAAATGATAAATTTCATTATTGATACAGTGTGTGATCATATTTTTAATAATTGAAAATAATGTACTAAACATTTTTACTTGGTCGATGATAACCAGTTTTGAAGTGTGGTATAGGCAATTGTTTGGAAAATCTTAAATTAAAACGTTAAACTGTGCCGTGTGATTATTGTTTTAATATAATTGTGAGTATTTTTTTTTTTTTTGGTAATTGGTGGTTCTAAAAAAAAAAAAAACACATTTCATCTAAGCTCGTTCATCATGTTTAAAAACCGGAAAAGGCAGCCTTCAAAGTGATTTTAGATATAGAAAAAAATAAATGGGGGGAACTTATGGCAAAACCTTTGTAACGTTTCATTTTTTATCACAAGTGTTTTATCTCTAAAATCACTTTGTTCAAAGGTACCCGTTATGCGTTTTGTGTAAACATACATGTTTTTACTATTTTGGAAATCATGCTAGATCCCGTGGAGTATCATAATATATTGAACTTGGTTGGCAAACCGTTACAAGAGCACGTGATACACGTGTATTTTTTTATCATACCTGTATCTATACATACATACTACATACTACACAACAGTACACATAGTATGGGCCGGATCTCCCACGAAAACTAATGGAAACCCACACGGGACAAATGCACGTGACTAAATGCGGTAATATCTATAGGCCAAAATCGTTCTTGTCGCAGTTAAATCAATGATTTTATTTATTCATAAAATATACGATTGAATACGATATTCTTATTGCGCTTTAATATAGCATCGTTTACGAGATGTACAAATCAACAAAAGACCAAAACGGTATTACACGTTCTTATGTCATCAAGACGACGACGACAACAACATCACAAGATGTAACGGAAATATAATTGGTTTTTGCTTTTTAATCACCTCAATGCGAAAGCAAAATATTATGATTACGACGCTAACAAAAAAAAATTGATATAATTTTTTTTTTTTAAATATAAAAAACTTTTCACTGAATCCGAATCTGGTCTTGTCCAACAACGCGTTTTAATTCAGACCGGTCTAAACACAACAATTCAATGCACAAAATACATAACAACACCGGTAAGGTAGCAAAAATCCGTGTTTTCCAATATTAAACTAGATGAACAGTTTGTATCGTGGTCATAACTCATAACGTCCACAATTTATACAAACTTAAAAAAGAAAAATACCATTTTAACATTCACTAACGTCTTGTAAACACACACATCGTTAAGACATATCTTATATGTGTTATTGTTTCACACATTAGTATAAAATATGAAATCATCACCACGTTTCTTTCTCATACATCCCCTTCCAAATTACAGATGTGTTTATGATTGATGTGGGCGTTCTACACAGTACACATTACATTTTAAAAATACCATTTTAAAGAACTGTTAGGGGGGAAAAACAAGTAATAATTAGATATTATCTACAATAACGGAGGTAACTTTTTTATTTATATTTTTTAATCCTATACATACAATCATTGTAATGTGAAGTAAAATTATAGTACACACGCAGTCGGAAAAGGCGGTTAGCTGTTATTCGTTTACATTGGTTCAACGTACCCCGGTGATCTAATCTCAACTAGTCAGCGAAAACGATAGTATACAAGACATTGTACTTTTTTAATTTAGCCCAAGACAAGTACAAGATTTTGTTTCCTCCATCAAGTCCAATTCCGGACGAGTTAACCGTGAACACCACAATAGTCAATCATATACGACGGTCGTTTTTCTTGACAATGTAAACACAGCCCCACCACTGTTGACGAGAAGCCTTGAGTTTAATAAAAGGGCACATTGTTAAGCAACAGCTATTGAGCAGTTGGCGTTGAAGATTTCATTTTCCACAAGAGCCCCCTAAAGGTTTGATTTTGACTTTCAAAACATTTAAAAGTGAAAACTTTTAAATAATAGGTAATAATATAGAGGAGATATTTTTTTAGACCAAACAAAAACATATAACAATACATAAACATTCTAACTTATTATTTCTCTTTAAATTGCTGCAATTTTTCTTTTTAAAAACATTTTTTTGTTTATCCTATATATTACAATCTTAGACAGCATTTAAATTTCTAAATCTTATTAAGTACACCTATTTTCTAGAGCTTTAACGACTTGTTATAAAAACTCGTTAAGATATCAATTTCGTCGAATTTTTAAATTAAAAATAATTAACTGAACCAGTAAAAATTGACAGGGAAATTATTCTTGATTTAAACATAAATATAACTGTAATTTTAACCGAGACCCTAACAAGCCAATGGATATACTTTGCATAGTTTTCTTACTCCTTGGCTTCCGGATCTCAGATTGTTAAGATGTATTAAAATGAGAAATACAAGTATTTACTATTAAAAAAATACTGTTTTAAATTAAAGTAAGCCGGAACAGTTATCGTTTATCGTGGACACTTTAAGATAAAGACAATTTTTCAAAGTGTACTAAAATTAACACACTTTTTGAACTGGGTAAATTTTTATTGATTTAAATTTATATTAAAAAAAAAAAAAAACTGTCCATGAAAATCAACAAATGTCAAGAGCTCATTTTTTCGAGTTGTAGCAACTAAGACCGGACTCGACCGACTTAAGAAGAATTTTATTTGAAAATTACCTGTATTGATTCTTTTGGTCTTGGAAGGGCCTTTTGGTGTAGTATGAACCACCGGCTTGGCTGCGCGAACCGATGTCGAGGCGTTGGTCACTGCTGCAGCATTATTTACAGCCGAACGAGAATTGAAATTCTTGTCTAAAACACAGAGCAAAACAATTTGATTAAATTAAAAAAAATAATAGGTACATAATTTACATTAAAAAAAAATAGGACAACAACAACAACCTAAATCGTTTTTAATGCAATAACGCCGGAACAGGAGGATACGGCATATGCGGGATTTGATTTTATTGAAAAGTCTGTAGAAAACTCCTAGCATGCGTGTCGTCATGTTGTTAACGTTCAATTAAATGGTAAAAAAACAACATAATATACTTAAGCGTCTCTCTAAATGTGAATTATTATTTTCGCTCTAGTTGGCCTCGGTTTCCTTATTTAAAAAGATATAGACGCCTATATATATATATATATATCGTACAGGCCTACACACACATGCTTAAAACGGAGAGACGAGATTAAGTCTTCGACAGATTGACCAACGATTAGATAAAAAATACAAAAAAAAACCGTATTATACGATAAAAAAAGCACATATTAAAAAATACAGTTATAACGCAAAAAAAAACATTAAAACAATTTAATTATACCTTAAAAATAAAAATTGCTACAGTATTTTTTCTGGTAAATTTTATTAGTAAAAGTTTTTTAAATCGACATATAATGTCATTAAATAAACATAATATATGTTTAATATACCCAATCGGCGTACTCGCATTTATAATTAATTAATTTATACTAAAAAAAAAAACAAGACTAATAAGGACTTTCTACATGTCTGCACAGTATACCTATGTTGTAATTTAAAAATCTGAACAGACTTAATTATCACATTAATTACAATTTAAGAGTGCCCCGTTAAACCACGGTCTATAATATTAAGTTAGCAAATTAAATTAACCAAGTCTGATCCGAATACGAAGCTCACAATACATTTTAAACGGTTGTTTAATGGCTTCTTTTTATAATGTTATTAAATTTCTCACTTTCCATCGTTATCCGCCTGGTTAATATTATTATGTAATACCACCTTGGTAAACGACACCACCCCATCTAGTTCTAAATAAATATTCTGATATTATATTCACTGAAATTCACACTAATCAATTTCAATGTTTAAAATATACCAGTCAAATGCTGCGCCATCGAAAATAATACAATAATAAAAATATAAAACTTTTATCATTGTAACACAATAGATATATAATAGTCTGACCTATAAAGAAAATGGGCTGATAGTAGATGTCTTAGATCCGAGGGGAACATTGTTGGAAAAAGATAGATAAGATAGTTTGGAGAAACAGTTAAATATATAATATATATGAAGTTGTAGTTGAATTAAACTATTATATTTTTAGAAAATATACTTGAATAAGAGCGGAGTAACTTTAACCATTAACCATATCTAAGCTGTCTAGACCGGTAAAGTACTTTATAATATAATCATTAGTTAATACTCTGTAAAACCGCTAAACAGTGATGATAAATGGCTTTAAGCAAGTTTATGAACGTGTCTCGAGTTAAGCTAAACTTATTGTTGTTGTTAGTCAAAGCCCCAAATATATTTATCATAAAATATTAACTAAAAATAAAAACTATTCCATGAAAATATGCTCTTGTTCATCCATTATTATTATACTATTGTTATTCGAAAGTAAACGAGTTAATTACAAATATATTTTTGTTTGGTATCCTAATTAATTATTTTATTGTAGTTAGAATATCAATAAAAATCGAATGATATAACATCTGACCAAATATAATAGTAAATAAACCAAACAAACAGTATTTGTATTGTTTAATGATACACACAATAGTCTGTATGAATAGGGTGAATAGCCTGGTAATACAAAAGAATGAAATCAAATTTGTGTAACATCACTTATACAAATAGTAATTATTGTTCTAGGCTACTTCTCGCACGTTTGTTTGTTTATTGATTTTTAATTAAAAACCACAAGACAATAATAATAAGTTAATAAGGCACAAATAGATACACTAATCAAACGTTGGTTGGTTTTGCTTCAAATATAATATTAATCTAATGATAGAACGGTTAACAACGTATGATATGTGGTCTATAGTGTCTACTAGCAGGGGCATTCTAAGGTTACACATTAGAAAATATGTAATCCAATACATACTAGAATGTTAACAATAGTAGTAATATTATCATTTTATTAGTAGGCTGTGACGCCTACAACAGCACTGTCTAAACAAAATAATATCAAATTTCCGACACGGAGCTGAGCAGCGATTTGTCAATTTTTCTATAGTTAAAACATAGTTAATATTAATAATAATAATGATATGATAATAACTGCTAAAACAGTAATTAATTTCTCGTTAGCGTGTTACAACTTACAAAATGTATGTCAAAACACATAACAGCTGTCAATAATGACATTGTTTTCATTTGGAACACAATTCGGACACATTTTCAATATATTAATTAACATAAAACAGTAGAACAAGTTCTAATAAATTAACTAACTGTAACATCACAGAAGAAAATATTATGACCAGAATGCAGCAGTAGGTTTTCAATACACGTATAAACTATTTATAATACAATACACTTGCATTGACAGATGTATTAAAAAGGGGAATAATATTGACCCCTATTTTACTTATTCAGGGTAAATATGTATTATCTATTATTTACAACTCTGCTAATCTGATCTACTACACGTGTAATACATGTTTGTGGTTATGATTGCACCGCCACTATAGTGACCCTTAGTAATAATATCACACAATAACAGCAGCTATTGATCAATATACATTTTTAGTTTTAATGTACTTAAATCGCCATACACATAATACTACATCCTTCGCGTGTAAACTTTAATTTGAAATTAAAAAAAACTAGTTTATGTATTATCTGCGTTATGTAAACAATTTAGTATTTACTATTAGAAAACGGTTTTATATATTAGAACACTACTTAACAACAACAATACATTTTGTGTGAAAATTTAACATTTTCTTTTTTCATTCAATATTTTAAATGGCATTAAAATGTTAGTTAATTTCGAAGGAAATATATCATGAAACTATTTTTATTTTTTGTTTGCATTATTATTATTCCAAAAGAATAAAATTGTTTGAACCCAAATGTTTGAGATGTGACAAAAAAATGCTGACATTGATTGGCGTTCTTAATTGTATACTTTTATTTTGCTTTGTTGTTTTTAAAGGTTAACATTAATGAATTATAAAAAGATTTCCCAAAAAAATCATCTAAATAACTAATTTTGTAGTATTCCAAAAATAAAGACATCTACTTTTCTGTATTTTTGGTATAATTATAAAACGGACAATGGTAAAGCGAAGAATGATTGACAAAAAATATATATATATATTGCAAATGATTGTAGTAATTGACAAGATCAAAAAAATGAACAACTAATAACAAAGATGTATTTTTTTATGAAATGTTGCCTACACGAGACTCCTTAAAAAAAATATGTGGCGTTCATTGTGTTAACTATCTGATAAAATTTAAGGGGAACCTATTTTTTCGTTTAAGTCAAACGTTTTATTATACATTTTTAGTTTTCTCTAACGAAAATTTCATAAGAAACAAAATTGTATAATATGTTATTAAAAAATATTGGCAGCATAAATCTTGAATATCATTTGATATTTTCTATTTGACTAATTGTATAAATTAGTAAAAGGTTCAAATATATTATCTAAAAGCTATATGCTAAATTAAATAAAGGGTGTTTTAATTTGACTGAACGAGTAATTACAATATATATATATTTGGAGATATTATTTTTAACCTTATCTTTGTGCAAAATTATGTTTTTTTTTTCAAATCGAAATAATTGAAAACTGTTTATCAACACACTCTGTGTGAACCGTTTGGTTTAAAATATGTTCTGCGTAAAAAAAAAAAAAGTAAATGTTAGGCAAATTTTTGCGGTATAAATTCACTCCAATAGACATTTTTTTTTTTTTTTGCAACTTGTAATTTGCATTTAGGTTATCAATGTGTATTCAATTCAAGTCGAACACGGTTTTGAATGTGACGTTTTTTTTCATTTGCTGCTTTGACTTTTGGTTGCCCACATTTTCTTACCTAGAGTTCATTGGCCAACAAGTGCAACAACACTTAGTATCGAATTTATTTTTTATTTAATAATTATTACCGTCAATTAGAATAGAGAAGAACTCATAGTCCAGCAATAGTTTACTATGGTTACTTGAAATGTTAAAAATATATACATATATTATTATATATTTTGAGTTTTTGCTGGTCACCAATTTTTTAACGTTTTTATTTATAGGATCTTAAAAAAAATGATTAAAAATCGGATTCTTGTGTAAAATAATCTCAACTTTCTGAAAAAAATATATTAATTTTTTCATTTCTCGAAAATAAGAGCGTTTGAAATTTCACAAGCTTAAACATTTTCCCAAACGGAATACACTTATTTTATTCAAGTTATTATTTCCTTTATAAAAAATGTTAAAATTAATAAAATATATGTAACGTTAAATGGTAAATATAAATATGTACAAAACTAGTTATCGAGTAGGCCTTTTTTTTTTTGTTTCTATTCTGGCCACCACAATTAGTATCAGAGAAAATAGATATTATCCTAGTGACATTTTCGTTTAGTGTAAACAAGCAAACAAGTAGTACCGATTTCTCATTGCTTTCTCTTTTTCCATGAACTTCGGTCCGGAAATAACACCAAGCTTAATATATTGCGCAATGGTCAAATTGTTTTCAAATTATTAAACTTTTTTTCTATTAAAATAATTTGAATAACTCAGTTCCATATAATCTAACTTGAACCAAAGCAACCGAAAAGCGACTCGGTTGTTATCATCTTTGGTCGAAAACATTTTGAAAACAGTACACACCTATCAGCAATTAATTAAAAACGCTGTATATAAATTGGATAATTAAAAAAAAAAAAAACTTGTCATCGCTTCGACGAAGAACACACACGTTTGATAATATAATAATATTGTAAAAAAAAAAAAAAAATGCAAATAACGTTTTTATACTCACGGACAAGAGTAGGGTGCGAAGTGGCTTGTTTCAACGCTATTTTAGTTTCACTGCTAAGGTCACTAAACGAACTGTCTCTGGAACTATTTTGAGAACTCTTTGGTATACATCTTGGCCTGGAGGCGGCGTTTGGTTGATGGTCGTTGGTAATTGGTAAATTCGATTCGGATCCACCGCGAGCTCTTGTCTTGCGACTGAAATCGAACGAATCAACAACAGCTAATTAGTGTAAAAAAAAAACAACACATAGTAATGCCCGGTTGCACCAAACTTGTCGTTATCTATTGGTAAATTATATTTACTACCGTATGTAAACTTTATCTTTTGTTAAATCAACATGTGTTAAAAAGTGTTGCTCAAACGTTGTTTTATATTCAGGTTATTACCAGTATATTGGTTATCGAATAAATGGTATCAGCAGTAGGAATTAATGTTATTATCATACAGGGTGTAATCAATGATACACTGATAACGCAAATTTCCATTATCACCACTTTAACGCAAAACATTGATAACAAAATTTAACTATACATACATTTTTACACAGCGATAAATGACCCTCTTCTAATTTAACAACAGATTAAATTTAACAAATGATTTATGCAACAGAATTTATTTATTTAAACGAGTTTATCTCTGTGTAAATATTTGGTGCAACCCGGCATAATTACTGTTAACGTATGCGTTTCTTCACACCTTTTCGCTTTGAGAGGAGTGTTCAATCTATGAGATCTATGAGTATTCGTCGGCAACGGCGGTTCAGTGTTTGTCGGCGATTCTTTTAGCCTATTGTTGTTAAGAGGGTTGACGGTGTTTATCTTGCTCTTGACGTCTTTCAGCCTGTTGGCGTGGGTCTTCTGATCGACTTTGCTCTTTTCGATTTTATTCATAACAGCGTCCCAACGACCGGCCGGTTTCCTAGCCCTGGGCGCCCGGTTTTCTTGGTCTTGGCACAGATCGAGTGTCTTGGGCTTCTGAACGGCGGTCGTCGGTGGTCTTTTGTATCTTTTGCTGGCCGGACTCGAAGCGTCTTCCGCACAACAATCGGTGGTCGCAGCAGCAGCAGCAGCAGCAGCAGGAAGAACCACCAGTAGACTGTTTATGGACGAGGGCGACGTGGAAGATTGTGTGTTTGACGACGACACCGCTGCTCCTTCGGGATTTTCTGGCTGCGCGGCCGTCGTCGCAGGTTCTTCGAATATCCTGTCAAAATCGGAATACACACCACTTGAGTCCATTTCTTCGATGGTAGCAGGAGCAGGAACAGCCGCCGCCGTGCTGCCATTCGATGATTCCTGCTGTTTGGCAACGTCTCCAGAATAAAGTGTCCCGTCGATAACCCTGGCCTTGCGATGACAATGGTCTTCGGCTTCGCTTTCGGTGAAGAAGTCAGAATCGGTCATCGGTTCGGTCGGTCCACCGCCGTCAGTCCGTTTCACTGCTGTTGCCCCACGACTGGTGGGGCGACTCGTTTCGCCGTCGCCCTGATATCCAGTGTCCAGACTTCCCACGCTGGTTATACTGGTCAAGACAACGTTGGGAGGGTCAATCGTCGATGACGCTTTCACTTCGGTCGTGGTTCTAGACGAAAAGTCATCCATGGGTAGATCTTCCAAAGACGGGGTTCGATCAATTATGACGTTATCGTAGAACACATGACCGAAAGACACGGTCGAACGTTTGGGATAAGCGGTGCTTGCTGCGCTGTCTTGTTCGGACACTGTTGGATTTGAAGGAGGATCCGAAGACAGGACCGGCGACACTAAATCGTCGTCTTTCGGCATCGATATCATTTCCAAATCGCTCATAACAATGTCTCCTTCGGAAATACACTGTGGAAATCAAAAACAAATTATGAATAGCTTGTATAGGGTTAGCGAAATTCATACAAAGGGTCCTGAAAAGAGCCATGTGTCCACATTAGCATAAACTGACAATTGTATCTCATAATTGTATCTCATGTCAAATGTATGACAGAAATGTGCCAATGATAAGATAACACATACCGTTCATAACTACACTAGCTTTTAGAACTTGTGTTAGTGCACCAAAAGTTGTAATTATTAGTTAGTAAAAATGTCGAGATAGATATGTGTATAGTGATTAAGTTTAACAGAACTACGGATGGGATAAAAGTAGTTTTGAAGTTGGAGATGGTCATATGCGGTGTACATGGAGCGTGTTAGAACAAAAGGAGGTAAATAAAAAAATATGTGCTTAGATAAATAAGAGTAAAAAATTCAGGGTATAAAAAGAGAATTGGGTTAAGATGGCCCCTATGTCGCTTGTATATTATATGAGATGAAGAAAAACGAAGATTAATTTAAACGATCAAGGTGATTGCATGCGGTCTGTTTTTTTTGACATTTTATGTCTTTACATTGGCACACAACGGGAAAAATCGACAGTTTTTATCATAACGAAAATTTCTGATGATTTATCTGATAAGAGAAGTTGTAAAGGGATGGGGATTGAGATGGTTTTTGTGTAAAAAATAAGGAGTAATTTTTTTTTAAGTTTTAGACCAAAAAGCCAGACAAAATTTCGTCTACTTAGGATAGTCCTATTTCAATTCTGTAAAGGCACGCCGGTTCTTAGGTAACAACTTTACTTGGTTATGTAGAAAACAGATTTCTTACATTTTTTTTTTATATAAAAAAATTGGGTTTTAATATTGAAAAAAACATTTTTCAGCCGAGTCTGGAACCACGAAAGAGCATTTTCATGTATCTAAGGTAACTAGTAAACATATCAAGTTTCTGGCTAATACTTGTAGTGTTTTCATAATATCTGGCCCAAAACAATTCATAGGAATATGGCCCCTTAAACTATTGAATTTATTTTTCAGTTCTAGTTTGAACGTGAATACAACATAATATATGCCCCAACCCCATTTCTAGTCTCTTATTAGATAAAACGCTTTTTTCGGTTATGTGCCAGAGCAAAGACATGAAAATGTGAAAATTGCAAATTTTTAATTTATTTAATTACAAGATACTTGAAATTTTACTTACTTCTGTAATTTGGTGAGGTGACATTTTGAAAAAAATACCGGGCACTTCATAATGGGCTTCGTCCCCTTTGAACTCGACCATCTGGTCGGGCGTCAGTATGCCCAAGCTGTCGGTGCCTTCGAAGGGGGATTCGGTTTTTCTTATGTCCAAATCCCAGCAGCAGTTGGCCATTGCCGCCGGACTGCCGCCGTCGTCGTCGTACATGAGTTCGGCTTCCAGTTTGCCGCCGCTGTCGCCAACAACGACAATGTGCGGCGGTTGGCGGCTGCTTTCCGCCGGCAGTCGCACCAAATGGGCCAGCACAAACAGTGCGCATTGGTCGCGGCAAGCGAAATACCTGACACCGCACACGGACCCGTCGCAAACACCGTGGCCGGGTTCGACCTCGACGCCGCACCAGTCGCCCGGACCCAACACGGTCTTGCCGAAATACCTGAGCACACCTGTTTTGGAATGCTGAGTCAATTCCACCAAACTACCGAGGTCTTTTTCGGTGACCGACACGCGGTTGGCCGGTTTGAAAAGCGACGAAGGGCGATTAGGCGGTGGCTGAGGCTGCGGTTGGGGAGGTGCCGCGCTTTGAGATTTCAATGTCATGTCGGTACCGCCGCCGCCGTTGAAAAGCCCAAACAGCGTGGAAGTCGTCGACGAGTTTCGATAGGAGCTGCCATCGAAATGAGAACGCACTTTGTTGGATATATTGGAAAATCGAGATCTCAGCGGGACGGACGAGTTCAGCACGGGTATTTTACTTTCGCCGGGAACCTGGAAAAAAAAATACAAATTAGTTATCCGATAGATTAATTGAACAAAAACAAAACTTTAAAACGCACTGCAATAACCTCCTCCTAAAAAGTTACAGTCTACTTAAAGCCTAACCGTTAAAACTATAAGACCTGGAACATCATGCTTTAGAGCCTGCTGGATCGAAAATCTCCTCTGGCCAAATAAACAATAACCTTGTTGCTTACTCGCTACTCTAGTGTCGTTTTCTGGCTGGGGGACAAGGCTAAAGCATGTTCCATGCTAAAAACAACACATGTTACAATGATTTCACAATTGTTTACATGTCCGTCATGTATCACTGTGTTTTTATCACTAATCCGTTATCAACTGTCTCTTATCAGCATCCTTAATCGGGCGATTCTTATCAATAATCCTTTATCAGTTCAGCTGTACAACGTCAAAACACAGTAACCAACATTCTTATCAAAACTTACATTTTTTTTTGTATAGTTCTCTGTACTAAAACATGCTGAAATTTTCTATAATATCCTGTTTGCATTACACACAATTATTTTAGGAGTTATTACACAGTTAAACGGTTGGAGGCCTGAATCATCTTACAAAAACGGTTCTCCTGAAAAATTTGACAGATACAGATACTGTGTTTTAACGTTGTAAAGCTGCAGTTGTCCATTATCAGCAAACGTAATTTCGGCTGTTTCTTATCAATAAGCGTATTTTCGCAAACATGTTTACTGATATGTGCTGATAATGTTTAGATTGATAAGGATCGTTTGCTCACCGCCAAAATTATTTATGCATTATCATAGGTACCGAACATTCTAAACTCTGAGTAAATATGATATTTGTTTGGTTTGTCAATGTTTAATGGTACTACTATGTTAAAAAGATATTCCATAAAAATTTGGAACTAATTCGACTATTTTTCAGCTCTGCATCGAAGCTAAAAAAATACATTATGTACACGAGTGTACCGTTAATGATGTAAAACAAGCAACTCATTATTGCACATGCACGTCAAAAACATTCTGGGAGCGCCGACAAAATTAAAACAAACAAAAACGTTCATTAGTAGTACATTCTATTCGAAGAATACTAAATACGTTAAGTGCTGTTAAGCCACATTTATTCAACTAATACTTCGGTAAAACAAAAACTGGAATAATAATTACTTCCACGTTGCGTTGTAAACATCAAGTAAGTACCTACAACTAGTCTTTATTTATCGTAGGGACACTTAACATACATACAGGTAAAGATAACATAGAATAAAATAAATATTAATTCAAAATTAAATTACAAAACATAATAATATGGTATCAAATACAGCAATTTAAATGTAAATGCTGCTAATCACGTACAACCAAATTTTAATCTACAAGCTTATGTCTTGGTTAATCCATTCTAGATCTTATCAGGGCAGCTCCACGATATTATTATTCATTCCTCTTTGAAATGTCTTCTTGGGCAGTCAAACTCAATGTATTTAATATACATCACTACAAAAGGCAGCTAACCATGTACTTGTGAATATCTTAATAAATTTGCTGTTTTATTTATTTTCAAATTTGGACAGAATATAATGAGAACTCCTCAAGTATGTTCACAACTACAATTCGTAGTTATATATATTTGTACTATTTGTGTATATCTGTTGGCATTATAATATTATTTGTAATTATTTGGTGAATAAAAAAATACACACATACAGATATAGGAACAAGCAGCAGGAACTACAGTGTCTGCTAACAGCCGGTACACATTAATTTGTCGGAGTCGGTTTACAACAGGTGTGTCACACATACACACATCCTTCACTCTTGTGTTTCGTTTTTACCACAAACCGTGACGACTCTTTTTTTTTAATGTCACGATTGTCTTTTAACAAAAAATAAAATGCACACCCTGACAATTATTATACACAGTACACGCTATATACATATATTCTCATTATGTCACTACTGCTAAAACGATAAATTCGTGCTTACAAGACAAGAGATTAGTGTAGCTATACATCTTTTATAATCATTTAAAAATAATAATCAACTCTCACCGAATACCGTTCTAGCCCAAGTAACATCACTTTTGTGAAAACACTTTAGGTTTTCATTTAATTATATTGGTTGAAAAATAATGATACTATTATACGATAATGTACACTAGGTAACATATAACCAACGTCGGAAATAATATAATAGTACTTAGTACCAAAGTTAGACCATACCATAGTTAAAAAAACTTCAACCCTTCCAATTCGAAAAAGAGAGAAAAAAATGGTCGCTTGACTTACGCTTTTAAACGGAGTATTTCTTAGACATAGTAAGATACTACGATGAAGCAGAGGATGTAAGCAACACATTCCCTCCAAACAAGTTTTTCTTTTTGCCCAAGGGTTATGAATAAAAATGTAATCTACAAATAGTATAAATTTTTATAAGAATAAAGTAGCATTGTCCTCGAAAATTCCATCCATAAATGTTTACATATTTTTATGTTCGCCAAATAATTACAAATAATATAACGCCAACAGGGATAAACACATGGGTGAAAACCCAACAAGCAAAATAAAATAGCAAATTTTAAACTTAGCAGTTTTAGTAGGTAACAAATTAACCAAAAATAAAAATGTTAACATTTATGATGAAATACATGTTATTTTACTTTTTATACGGTTTTTCTATATTTCACACCTTAAGTACATTTTAATTTTTAATGGTAGTAAACAAATTAACTTTGACGAGACGTATAAGACGCATACCAACAATAAACAAACGTTCTGTATGTACATGATGTTTACGTTTACCCAGTTCAGGCAGCTCAGATTAATGTTCTTATTTAAAGGAACAATATTACTATTATAGATTGCAAAACTATAATGCAAACTAAACTAAATGAAATAAAAAAAACAAATTAAATCAACAGGCGGTTGAAAAAATACGAGTAAACATAAATAAACATTAGTTAATAAGTTTTACTTTTTAATTTAGCAACCTTTAAAATACTAAATTTAACTAAATTAAATGTATATACTTTTAAATTAATAAATCAACAACTGTGAATAAGTGTGTAAGTCGATTTAAGTGGTTTTACAGGGGAGCGATTTTAAACTTTGACCAGTTGCCATAAATCAGGATTAGGATCAGGATAATCAGGATTTTATTTAAAGCATTTGATTTTTTTATGATTCTCTTATATTGATAAATATTTAGAGGTACTCAAGTGGTTTCTTTCAAGTTTAAAATCGCTCCCCTGTAAAATGACTGAAATCGACTTACACACTTATTCACAGTTGTTACAGATATATATATATAATATATATTTAATAAAAAAGCATACATGTTATAGCACCACTCTAGGTCTACCTTCAATTTAGATTTGGATAAACCCAAGTCCTAAAATTAAGAAAAATTGTTCATCTCTTCTAGGGGAAAATAATTGTGACCTTTTTTTGGTTTGCCATCGTTAATCGATAGTACAAGTAGTGATAGTAGTAGTTAAGCATTTTCCACACAAATTTGGAACTAATTAGACTATTTAAAAAAAAAAAAGTTATAAGGAGCCGTGATTTTTAGCTTGAAGACTTCGAAAAGTATTGGATTTTTTTATTTTTAGTTCAATAAAGTATCTATCAGGTACGATTTATGATCATTAGATTTGCTACATGAAGAAATCGGTCCAGACGCACAAAAAAAATAAAACTGAAAAAAAAACACAACTGTAAAAACAATACCTTCTGAGCTACTCATCGAAGCTGAAATATTAGCATGATCATGGCCGTACAGTTACTGTCTCAAAAATTTACATTACACTACTAATCTCTTAAAAATTGTGAAAATAAAAAAAATGAAACAATTTTTAATTCGATAATAACAATATGCTTAGTTTATAAATTTAAAAATATTCAGTTTTTTTCCAAAGAAAATTAGTTTTTACTCGATTGTTATAATCCTAGATTTTATAGAATTATATAATAATATACATTAAATGTGCTTTTAATGATATAGTAGTTATTTATTTTATTACTTTTACACAGTTTATATCTCAAACGACACTTGCGTATTGTTGGCTAATAAACCCGTGTTAGGGTGTAAAATTTAATTTTTTTAATTAAAAAAAAATTAATTAAAAATTAAAAAAAACATAAATTTTAGATTAGATTAAAATCCGTGTATTTTTAAAGGTAGTGTTGATGAACAAGCAAAACATTTTAGATGACTATCCGATTTACTTGGCCCAATTTGTATTTTATTATTGCTAAAATAGACAGAAATCTCCGAATTATGGATACCTACTATCGTGCAACAAGTTTAATGTTCTGTATTTTTATACACTATTATCGTGGATAGAATCCAAAAAAAATGTATAAAAAAAATTGGCTTCATTTCCTTTTGGCGTCGACCTAATTTTTCCCGTCCATAAACCCAAGAGCTTATAATATTATGCCGGACTAGACAGTACACAATGCATAACCATTCCCAAATGGGAAAACGTCAGCATGTATATATATATTGTTAATCAAAGAGCAAATTATTCACGGCTGACCAAAGAATGTGTGTAACAGACGTTAACGTCAATGGCGGTTAATATTATGTTTTTATCGCAAAGCCAACACTACTGTGGTTGGCAGCAAAATGAAGATAATATTATATAGAAAACAAAAAACAGTTATGATCAGCAAAAGATTGTAAGAGTTGACGTTTTCTAGGAATGTCCTCGACAAGTTTTCAATTTTGTTTCAGTTTTGTTGAAAAGCAGAATGTTATTGATATAGAATTTATTTAAAAGATAATAAATGATTGTTGTAAAAAAAAAAATATGTATGTACTCGAAATTGATTAAAGATTAATATGAAATATTCTTAAACAGTAGCTGGACGATTTTGTTTACCCAATTCTCGTTGTTAAACAAGTTTTATTTACAGTTATAGTGTAAAATTAGACTAGTTAATTGCACATGTTCTATTCAATAAAAAAATGGTAGAATTTTCGTTTGTTTCATCTTTGGCCATTTTAATTACAAATGCCAAAACTAAAACATAATGATGATAGTGTGCAACATCTGGAAAAGTCATTATGTAGAAAGTAGCACAGGAGCAATTCGCTATAATATAATGCCTACCTTATAGTAGCTACCATATTATAAAAATACACGTAATATGGAACTATTACTTTCATTTTATACATTTTTTACAACCGCGTGTATGGTGTTTAATAAAATATGTATTTTATACAGTAGAGAATATTACACAATAGCTCATTCGACATAAAGATATAATATAATAATGAGGTATAAACACCGGTCGTGTATTTATAATGAGCATTCTAGTTGTTTTTTTTTTTGCAAAAACATTTAATGGTTGAAAATTATAATTTACTTACTGTTGCAAAAAATTAAAAAATAAAACACATTACAATTTTTACTGTATTTACATAATTTATATTACACTCGGATTTTATCACACAATTTCCAAAGAAGATTGACCGAACGATAACGGCGATTATTCTACTCATCTCACAGATTAAGATGAAGCCATTGTTAAGTGTACATATAATATAAATATATATGTATACATCTATTTTTTTTTTTGTATACACCTGACCGTCCCCAAATTTTTACCTCAGAAGACCTTGGGACTACAACGGCTGTTGGGAACCGTGCAACCGTGACGACGCCGTACACCACATTGCCAGACCGTGATAATATAATATTATTTTTTTTATCCATCGCAATGGTGTCCAGAGAAGTAGTACTACCAACTATTGCAACGAGTGTACGAAGAAAATATATTATGAGAAGGGAGAAGAAGAGATAATAAAATATCATCATCAATTACACGTTACCTATACAATGACAAGTAATTTTGTTGAGCGACGAAAGAAGCATATAATATAATGTGATGTCTTCGGGTCGTGAGTCAGTTCAGGTCATGAGACAACAAGTATGAATTGCGTTAATAAAAAATTATATATTATAATAATATGTTCCCAATTTCAAAAGCAAAACGATAGTACCCACTTTGGTACCTACTACAAAAAACGTGCCAACGAAAATTGGAATAATAAAATTAATAGCCAGACATCATTTCGGACAAGAAAGTAAGTATAATAACTTTGTTCGAAGAATAAAAATACACACACACATATATTATTAATGTAAAAATTCATTTTTATTCTGCGAATAAAAAATATTCTTTTAAAAACCATGTCGGAAACTTTGCAACTTGTTGATTGCTTAGAAAGAAAAAAAAAGAAGACTCGTCAAACAATCCAGACCGAATATTTTACAGTTATAATGCATTACACTACATTATACAATAGAGACTATTGTCTGTGTTCAATGAAGAAGGGCGAACGACAAATGGCCTCTTTTATGTGTGCATTTCACTCAAGCGGCGGCGGCGGCACAAATAAAAAAAAAAATACTAAACTAATTTTAATAGGCCAACGATGTTGTTTTTAATGAACTACCGACCAATTGCCGAGCACAGATCTCGAAGATCATTAACATTAATTAGCATTAAAAAAAAAAAAAAAAAACGAAAACCTAAGTATACCTCAACAGCACGATTCGTTCGTGTTGCCCCATAATACAACACCAAGTATATTATAATTTGTTTTGAAAAAACATTGTATTGATCATCGAACAAACACTGTCGAATTTAGCGCTTTACCGTTTCCAAAACCGGATCAACTTGGGTACTTACTAACCTTGGACACCTTAATTACTTTGCTAAATAATTGCCATTGAACACCACACACAATTAATTCAGCTGCACAACGTCAAAAATCAGTATCTGTGTTTATCATTATTTTTACAGGAGAACCGTTTTTGTAAAATGATTCAGGCCTCCAACCGTTTAACTGTGTAATAACTCCTAAAATAATTGTGTGTAATGCAAAGAGGATATTATAGAAAAATTCAGCATGTTTTAGTACAGAGAACTATACAAAAAAAAAATGTAAGTTTTTATAAGAATGTTGGTTACTGTGTTTTGGCGTTGTACAGCTGAACTTATAAAGGATTATTGATAAGAAAATATTGATAAGAATCGCCAGATTAAGGATGCTGATAAGAGACAGCTGATAAAGGATTAGTAATAAAAACATAGTGATACAGCTGAATTCCCAAAACGAATTATGTATTCATAAATTCAAACGGATCTATCAATTAATGCTAAAATACTAAAACTACTAAAGTACTAAAATATGAACCAATTAAAAAAAAAAAACATAAATTAAATAAAACACAACCAAAATGAATAACTAGTCAATTTGAAAATTACACGTTATACTAATCGGATTTCAAATAAATATGAACCTGAAAAGAATATCAATACTGAAAAAATTAACCGTTGAAAATAAAAATAAATAAAATATAAGCCACTTGTTGATCGTCGTTCAAAAATAAATTCAACGATTAATACATAAACGTTATCACGTTTTAAAATCGGAAGTTAAGACAGAATTAGTTAAACAAGTTTTTTTAACCTTTAAAACATCAAAATTTTGAATGATTAACGGTTCAGTATTTAATTAACAACTTCGCCTAAAAAATAAAATTAACCCCTCCTCAATAAAATAATTGATTTGAGTATATTTTTAAGATATCCCCTAATGATAAATGACAGTAATAACCCAGAGTTAATAATATCATAAACCACAATCATTATAATAACTGAATATATTAGGCTAAAAATAATAACTATGTCAATGCTACCTTTAAAGTGGTTTTTACCGATATTTATGGTTTTTTTTTATTACTCCAAGTACTTGTATAGGAGTATTTTTTTAAGAGTTATTATATACTTTCAAACGTAATACTTCCTGTAAACCGGTGACCGCAGATAAGCACTTAAGTAATATAAATAATTATCTATATCAGGGACACTAACACAGTTTTTTTTTCTTAAAATATTCGACAAATAATTTATATCCGTTTTGAATTGATACTGAAAACTTAAATTTAAACAAAAAGTAGGGGTCCATTAAACATATTTTTTTTAAAAAAATGATGCTATCACAAATGATAGCCAATGGGTGTACTAGATAACATAAAAAACGATATTTATTTTTCAGCGTGTAAACAAAAAACTTGTTAATAGTAAAATATAATTTATATTTACGACAATCATGAATAATTTAATTATAATTTAAAAACCGACAAGTTTTTATAATGATTTACCGTACTTGCTTTTCTGCTATACATACAATACTACAGTCAGAGGTTGAAAATTGACTCTAAATATTGTAATATTGAAATGGGCAAAACGATATTTTAAATATGTTCTTAAATATGCTAACATGTTTTTTATTGTTCTACAAATTATTATTTTATTCATATTATATATTATAAAATGCCCAGATAATCCGCTAATAGGGACTGGTTTAACGATAAATAAATATCAAATGTGTGAAATGTCAATATAAAGTATATTATTAAGATAACAGTGTAGCTTGCATTTACATATTATTATATCTAATTGAAATAACTACTATTTATAATGCAGGCCTAAAACTTGTTTTCGTGGTTTATATAGCTTCGATGCGAAGCTACAAAGGTCTTGCTGTGTGTATATATTTTTCTTTAGCTATGTCGCATGTTTCTATAGTTGTCAAGTTATAGATAGATAGAAATCGTCCTAAACAGTGTTTCAATGTCAAACATTTTAAAAGTTCACCTCTTTCCATTCGAAATCGAGGAGTACCCGAAAATGTACATATTTTGTTAGATCAATATTACAGTGGATTTTCTCAAGTATTTAAAAATCTTAGTAGTCTCAATTGTGTATAAATATTCTTCAATCCTAAAACAAGTAAATGATAAACCAAAAAAATATAAACTTCGAAGTTGGGAAATTTTCTTTATTGCACAAGTGTAGTTTTGGTATCACATGTTTGACAACTCGACGGAAGTCGAAACTAGTTGGTCATCCTAGACAATTTTTTCAAAAATCGTTTATTTCTGTAATGATTACAAAAAAATTGGAGAATTATACAGCACATTACACTCGACAATCAAAGGTATCAGACAAAATGTATCTATGTAGCCATACATACGTATCCACCCTAAATTTAAAAATACAACTTTTTAGCACATAACTGCCTTTAGTGATTTTTATCGATAATTAATATTTCGAGTCCCCCCCCCCAAAAAAAAATTATTTCAATATCTTGTATTTTTTCTTTATTTTGGACCCCAACTGAAAGAAAGTCTAGATACGGGGCTTTTTACACCGTACCCACTATAGTGACATATTTAAAAAAAATGTATTTTCAAATTGCACAAACCTAAGTTTTCAATAAAAGGGGAAGAATGCCACTATGTGAAAACTTTTGGACCCATAAAAACGGTCAGTTCCAAAACACATTAAGAAACAACTTAAGCACCCCCATACTCAAAATAAGCACCCCAAAAAAATTCTAACCCCAACCCTCGATTTGTACGCATAACATTTTAACAATGTACAGTCTGTTGAATTTTCTTATTTTACAATATTTTATATAATATGATGGCTCGAAGATAAGAATCATGTTTAGTCGGGTATATTATAATTTTAGCACCCCCTAAAATGTTGGTCTAGTTGCGCCTATGAATTTTAACATAACCAAAAATTGTTCTGTGTATTCCATAAAGAGTCCACTGCGGCGCTATTATTTAGCATATAGACGCGGTTATCAAAGTTGTGTACACGCAGATAGCAAACAACAACAACACGCCATAAACTAGTGTCGTTTATACCTGTACAAATTATTTAGAATATATTAGTCGTTTTTTTTTTTTTTTGGTTTTTTTTTAAATGTGTTTTCTGCGACCAGGTACACACAAAAAAACATCCAACACCCTTCGAGTATGAACAGCAGTAGCAGCAGCAGCAGCTCGTCCTATACAAACCGAACACACCGCACACAAAGTGTTTTGAACACAACCAGACACAGAAAAATCTATCTACAGCGTGTGTTTGTAACTTTCAACAGCACATTTGCAGGCGCAGGTGCGTTACAAACACGAATATAATTATTATGCTTATGTAATTATCCGAGTAATAGTGCTGGTGCGAATATCAATCGTACCTATTCGTCTGCACGATGGCCTCGGGGATACACAATAATAAAATAATAATTACTATTTACTACACACACATTGTTATTGCGCGCCTTTAGGTGTTTGAATTTCAAACCGGCGACAGCTGCTTGTAATGCATTATTTTCAATTGGCGCGCACACGGTTAGTAGTAGTACCTACCTACCTACCTACCTACCCGACTGCCGCGGAAACCGCCGAAATTCTCCCCCTTTTTCACACCGAGACAATATTGTTGTTATTTTATTCTTATTATCTTACCTTGGCCATCGTCGTTCAGATCAATGTCCCACACAATCAACGTCGGCACACAGCTAGGTATTTATCGTGCGATTTCTCTCTACTTTTGCGGTTTCATCGGTACACGGAAGATACGCACCACGCTCGACGGTCACAGCCGCGGTACATGATAGTTTTCCCCGGATTATCGATAACGCTATAATATTTTCAATATTAAAACACACCACAAAACTATACACGACAAGACGTGTATTAGCAAAAAAAATATATATATGTTTTTTAAACGATAGAAATAAAACACACACACAAGACACAAAACGGCGATACGGCGGCGCGCGGAGAGAACTGACTGATGAACTGAATGTGAAAATCGGCGCGACGGCGTCCCGTCAATCGTTGGGCCGGGGGTGGTGAGGGGCGAGGGGGCGGGGCGATCAATAAAATCGGGCGGCCGCGACGGTGGCGGCGGCTGCGGCGTTGGTACCTTTTTTCGCGCGCCTGATAACCGCGGCTGCGAGCGGAACGACCGGCAGCGCTCCAAGCGGTCTGGCACCGCACTGCACAACGCAGCACACACGCACATTGTTATTGTTATAAAATAATAATAATATTATATTATACAAGTACCTATATACTACACAACGGGACAAGGACCTCGCGGCAAGAATTCCGTACAATTTAGGCAAAGAAATGCGCGTAGATTACATATTTTTTTAAATAAACACCGTCGGTTAGCCGCTGGTACTAGGCTGATAAAAACCGTAGCAGAGATAATATTACGGGGTAATACCCGGGGGACCACGGAATAACCAGAAGGGAAACTTTACGTATGAAGGTATGAAGGTTCTTATTTACAAAGGCCGACTGCCATATTGTTTTTGCAGCTGGCAAAGGATGCACTCTAGATAATTGCAGGAATACCGAAAAAGCATGATATGATTGTGCGTAATCCGCAAAAACAAAATGTCGGACACTTGTCAGTACCGGCCTAGGTGTGTCCCTTCTGGTTATTCTTTTAAAGAGACCGGCGGTATATCCAAAAATCAAATATTTGGGAAAATTATTTTTCGCTGTTTGTTTTGTTTTTTCACCTTGAAATTATTTCTTTCCCTCACTTTTTTCTTTGTATTGGCTACTAGTCATAACTCATAAGCGTTCTTAATAATATGTTTGAACTCAGTCTGTTATTTTTTTCATTTTTAAAGAGATACTACATTTTTCAAGCAAAATAAAACATTATACAAAATGCAGTACATCTACAAAGGTTATTTGTTCCGACAGTTAATTTTGTATATTTTACTGTACTTTTAGTAACAAAAGTGTATATCAATATAGAACGATAAACACTTAAAATGATTTGAGTAAGTACCCAATTGTCAGATTCTTAATAAACGTTTCGGTACTTGCAAATCCGTTTTAGCTAAGATTACTAGATAAAAACGCAGTCTGTACATCGGGAAATGGGTTTACTAAGAAAATAATATTATACAACATTTCCATTGTACACACTGCTTTAATCTTTAGTCTCTAGGACGTGCTGAATACTGTTTTTCCATAGTACTTTGGTCGATGATACATTTTATAATATTATTGCACAGGCATTTCTAGTGGATTTATGAAATAGCCTAAATTTTTTTTTAATTTGGCGTTAATTACTGTTCAACTGAGCTATCAGCTGTAACACTGATATGAATATAATATCTGGATGTCATAGTAAACGAAAAAAAAAACACCAAACGGGCATTGCCCATCAATAATAATATTATATATTTTTAACTCGAGAGTGCGGTAATTGGAAGGCTGTATATTTTATATAACATAATATTGTATTATATTGTATAAATAAGATTATCGTCGTCGTTGTTAATAATATTAAAAGGCGATATTAAAGGGTTTAGCGAACCGGCAGCTCTATTTTTATCGATCAAATGTCTTCCACGAAATCATATTATAAAAATGGGTACAAAAGCCATAGAAATCCGGTGATAGGTTGCAGAGATATCAAATAACTTCCCCTACCTTCCCTCTGAACATTACCCGGCATGTGGTAGAATATTATGACAAGAGTAATTTTTATTTTGGTCGCTCTGAAAAATTTGGAAAAACAAAGTTGGTGGTCTTCTTTTTCAATTGCAGGATTAATAATTCAATTTATTTATTTTTTGTAAAAAAATACAACATATGACCGAGTTAAGGAAAACCCACAGTCTGGTAAAAACGTGATAAGTCCACGCTGTTTGTGCAGTATTAGTCATTTAACACAAAATATTATATGTTAGTTTTATAAAATTGATAGTGTATGTACTTAACTGATAATTATTTATAATTGAAGAGCTTGGAACGACAGCTAGACAAATACATTTTTTTTTTTGAAATTACATATTATGTCATGGAAAAAATTCTCTATCAAAGGATGCACAAACCAGATAAATCCAGATAAACAGAAAATATAAATTTCAATAATTTTACCATTGATTTATCATAAGAATAAAACATTTTTTATCAGCCCTGAACATTTTTAAAAAGTGGATTTATTTGGTTGTTGTTCCAAGCCCTTCAATTATTTGTATAAATAGTATGGTTGATTTGAAAAAAATATACTACACTAAAACAAGATTTTTAATTGTATTCATAAAGAAAAAAAATCAATATATTTAGAAAAATGCGAAATTGAAATCATGTTTTATTATTTTTTTTTTTAATATTTATAGCAGTTTTACTATACAGATACATATAAATCATAATGGGGGCTTATTCTAGTACACAATATATTATACACATTTACACTTGATTAACGCTTTTTTTCTAAGCATGGGACCTTATTGAAAAAAGTCATAAATTTACTGTCATTGATATTTGACTCATATGTTGCACAGTCATTAGAAAAGACTGATAGAATTTTAGCTGTATCATTAACATTTACTGTCTTGGCCAGCTATTATATAATAGGCTATATGAAAAGCTGAAATGAACGTGCAACTCTATAATATGGTTTTGATAATTGGAACGATTCTAACACATTAAAAAAATAATTAATTATCTTTAAAACTTAATAATGTATGAATAACTGCACAGAATACTCATAAGTTGGATAAGACACTAAGTAAAAGTAGAACCTATGGAATGAGACATTATTTTCCTCATTTGTATAGAAAAGTAGTTATCTAGAAACATGTTTACTTGTAAAGTGGCCGCGATTTTAAAACCAATGATCAGACTTAAAATCAAGTGAGATTAAATTGCTTATCTTAGTCTGGGCCAATGATTTAATAGTTATAAGCCTGTACATTTTTCCAAATTTTTTTTTCCAGATTTTCTAACACAAAATGGTCTAAACTACTTGATATAGTGTACATAACAGCTAAATATGTTCAGTTCTGTTGCATTATTTATTTGCTGAAAGTTTCGAAAATAACCGTATTATTTTATGGAACTAAAAATATAAGTATATATATTTTTGAACAAGTTTGCTTTTTAGTAAGTCTGACGTCGACATAAACATTAAAATAGGTACAGTAAGAAAAAAAATATATATTTTAGCATAATTCTTCTACATAGTGCACCGTATAGGATACCTATCTTCAGTCATTTAGCTATACAAAAAAAAATAGTATAAAAAATAAAATAAAACATTACAAGTAAAACGTCTTAAATTTAAATTTGTCGTTATAAATTGTTCAATCCTTTTACATTGCTTGTAGTAATTTGATTTAACTAATTAATAGTATATTTGAATTTAAATAATCAATGTTGGATTTATAAATTCATCTTGTAGGTGAACCTATATAATATTTAATTTTATCGAAAACATACTTATTCACGACAGTTGTTGCCAAAGAACCGGTGTGGCTTTACAGAATTGAATTAGGACCATCTTAAGTAGTCGAAATTTTCTCTGGCTTTTTGGTGTAAAACGTCAAAAAAAATAGCAGACCGCATGCAATCCCATTAATTAGATAGTTTAATTAAAGGTCTTTGGTTTGAGATATGAGTACCAAATTAATTTTAATTAATTTACACATACTCGAAGTTTAACCTCAATTGGGTGTTTGAATATATAATATATGTAAATTCTATAAAATATGTGTACAGACAAAAATAGGATATTTAACACAAAGTTATATATTATTTTAACATGTTGAAAATAAAATCCTAAGCTATTTTATAATTATTTTTGTTTTATTGTTGAATGTCGATAGTTGTTATATTATTCTTCTTGCAGTATTTTAACTTAACTTGTTTTTAAAAAATGATATAACAAAAAAAAACGTGCAAGTTAATTTGATTGCACTTCTAACGCCTTGATATCAGCCATTATAATTATCATAATTTTTTTAAACCTATTCAAACAAAACCATAAATTAAACATGATGCCAATTAAAAAACGGGTAATACGATAATATTAAATATACACATTACGATTGTTTATTACAGCCAAATTATTTTATCATTATTTTTGTGATGTAGACGGTTTGCCTATCCGAGACGCCGTAAAACCGTCAATAGTTTCCATTTGGATGTCACCTTTAAAATATTGTCAAGTTTAAGTTTTAAAGTTGAACTGGTGGAAACATTTGGCGTGGAATGCTTCATATATGTATTAGGGTAATTCTTTTTTTTTTTAACTTCTTGATCATAAAAACACCTTGAAATCGTTTCAGCTTTATCATCAGACAATTTATGGGTAATATTTCAAATTTTGGTAAAAGTGAAATATAATTCCATTGTCCAGTTTGTGAAGTTTATAATCTTTGTTCTTTACTAAAACAAAACTATGTTTATACTTAGATATTCTAACCTTTTCATATGACTTGAATTTTTAGGCGTTTTTTCCCCCTATATATTTTTTAAAACAGCTTTTATATAATATAACTATATATTATTACTATTATTATGAATATACTTTGTTTTTAACACAACCGTTTTACTCTGTTAGAGGACAATTTTTATAGAGCTGTAAAACAATGCACAACAAAAAATAACATTTTTACAAACAGATATAAATATGTATATAATATAAATAACGTAACAATATCAAGTTGACAACTTGAAGTAAGTAGTGCATCCACCACGGCTGATGACAGCACAGCTACCCCGGCTGGCAGGTACAACAAAGAGTCCGCGTTATCATAGTCGGTCGAATGGTTTAGCTGAAAGAGTAGTTCTAACTGTAAAAAATTAAACAAGTACTTATTTGATAGTAAGTTCAATTAAGCAAAAAGTGATTACAATCATAACGGCATATAATGCAAAACCGTCTCTACGGCGACAAGAAAATCTCCTAAAGACTGTATATTTTCTTATAAAGTAAGAACGATGGCAAGTTTGTTAAATCCAAAGAAAAGTATAATAGATAGTAAAAAAAAAAATGAAAAAGGTAGTATTCTATTTAAAAAAATAAATACATTTTATTATCACCCTATAATCACCCTAAATAATGGGTGAACATTTTAAAGAGGGATAAAGGGTATATCATAGTAATAATTTAAAAGAATAAGTAAAATGGTTATCGCCAATACTATGGTATTGTAAAATATAAATTAAGTACATTTCCTTAGTAATTTGTAATAAATAAAAAATAGCAAACACACTCGTATAATCCTTCCAAGCCACCCCTTGGCCAGTAGCCTTGATGTGCTCGTCCCCCAATTGATATGATTTAGCCGAATCTGCTCCGAAATCATTTCGCCTCAAGTCTCGTCTAAAAAATTGAATTATCTATAAGAAACTTTTTTTTAAAAAATAATAATAGCTAACCGTTAAAAGTTTTGCAGACTTTTTTTCTTTTAGCGCGTGTGATGGTGTGGAAATTTGAATCTATCCAATTTCTACAGCAAGTCATTATCAAAATCTTTTGCTTTGATGAGGTACGTTAGATTATCTAAAAATAATAAACAATAAATAAATATACAATTGTACAATTTAAAAAAATAATACAATAGCAATACCCGTGTAAAGTAATTGTACAGGTATCGTTTGCATAGTATTTTTCGTTATATAATAATGAAAATTGTACATTAAAGTTTGCGAAATTTCCAACACAGAAAACTCAACATATTATCCCGGTTTGTAAAATGTCAACACATCTTTATGAAGGTGAACCGTACACAGATTTTCAGTGTACAACATCCTTGACAAGCATCGAGGGTGCAGACGACTGACATTTTCATTCTGTTTCCGACATTCCAACACAGTTTTAACTGTTGGAATAAAAATAACATTAAAAAAAGTATTTTTATTACATGCATTTTTATCACCAAAAACAGCGTTATTCAACTTGAAAAAATCTTTTTGAGTAAAGTCTTTAGTCGACTTTTTTCTCATCTCTGTATTAAGATGGACATAACTTGCCAACCAAAAACTGTGATCATAGTCCAATATTCGGTGTACTTAGGTTAAAACAAGCTCTGCTCGAGCGCTATATATACTTTTTCACTTATTTTTCCTAAGTTCCTTATAGTTTGATCAGTACAAAAAATTGTGTATTAAGAAATTTAAAAAAAATTGGGCATTGAACGGTTAAATAAAATACTTTGAAAGTACCAATACGATAACGAGGCCCAAAAATGATAAGAGTTATAATCATAGTTTGATAACGTGTTATCAGTTAGTCAAAGACGTTGTAAGTGATTTTCCAAGGCGAATATAACCGTTTTTGCACGCAAACGAGCCGCGTTGACTTATTTAAAAACGCAAATGGAAAATTTTAAATTAACAAAATTTATACATTTCAATGAAATTAGTTAATTAAAATAATACACTTAAACTAAAGGAGATTCAGGTCTCTCTTTTCTCAGAACTTGGGCAGTCAATATGACTTTTTAATAGATTAAAAACAAAATAAAATGACAAAAAACACAATATTTTTTCAAGTTTAACAGTATAATTCATTCGAATAAGTGATAAAAAATAAAAGCTATTAAGTCAAACAAATCATTAAACATCTGAAATAATATAATATAATAAGTTTTATCATTTTCTTTTTTCTAACAATATTTATCAGTGTCAAAATGTACATTTAAGTACCTATATAATCTCATTTTAACAGGTAAGTAAACTTAATTTATAAATAATTAGTATAAAATAACTTTATAAATTATTATTAAATACAAGTACAATATATTATAAACATAATCAACAGACTTACAACTCGATAAATTCCTACTAATTTCTGCCATTTATAAATACATTTACAGCACAATATAATATTTTATTATTTATATGATAATGAAAAGGTCTTGGAATGGTTTCGTTATACATGAAATATACATATATGGGTAGGAAGTATGATGTTTTATTGGTAACTATTTTAAAGGCGTTTGTATAGATAACCTAATAATTATTGTATTTTATTCTTATTCCGGTAAATTTATTAACAATAAGGCGTTAATATTTGATGCACCGCCGGAAACTAACAATAAATCATATTATATATTACAGTAATCTAAACTTAACATTTATGGAATCTCAAAAAAAAAAAAGAATGTTTATGTCAATCGACTAAATACATCTAATACTAAAGAAAAAAATCTAAATGATAATTATTATTTTGTAACAATCTTTGGTATAGTCTTTGTAAACTTATTTGTAAGGCTTTATAAAAACGTTTTTGACAATAACTCTTAGTACATAAAAATATGTTGGCCTTGTATTGCGACAAAAACTAAACTATAATATTCCTTGTGTTTTACTACATTGCAAAATGGAGTAAGAATTAATATATAATATGTACATAACAATTAAAATCCTGTACTCAAACCGAATATTATAAATAATTAACAGTAAACAAAATAAAATTATAAATTAACAGTTTAGGATTTTACCATAATAAATCATGATTATAACATTTATCATGATCGATATCGTCCAATCATTTTGCAAAAACAACGTTACACTGTATTTTTACAATGTACTTGATGTTTTTTGATTGATACGTATTTTTCAAAAAATTACCCACAGTGAAAAATCGTTAACGAGATAAATATGGAAAAAGTCTTACAACTAAAAAAATTTGCTAAGGGGATTGTCAGTGGCGTGTTAGACTAAAATAAAAATGTTGACTACTTAGGTAATATATATTTTGTCGTTTGTGAACATTTTCAAAAAATGGTTTTAGCTGGCTAGGTACATGCCGCCAATAGAGACAATAAATATTGAAGTTACCGTTTTCCGTCATCTCTGTGGAAATTAGAGAACTTTATTCAATTTTTAAAATATTATGTTATTTTATCCCACAAAAAAATGGCCGACGTCGACTTCCGTTCTTATCACTAGTTAGCAAATCTAGTTTATCATGTATATCAGTTAGAGATAAGAGACAAACGATAAGAGATAAGAGAATAAATATAAGTGATAAGATATAGGTGTTCACGGTCGGGTTCAATATATATATATATATATTGAATTATTAATTTAAAAAATAAATATTTGTGATTTCACTTTCAGTTAGAGATAAAGGATTAGTGATAAGAGACTCGAAAACCGCCAGCTTCCAATCCCCTTAAGACGTTACCATCTTGAAGTCAGTAAATGCTTATATTCAAGTCCGTCACTTGGTAAATTTTTGTCAAATTTCGCCTATCCCTTTGCCTGCTTAAATAAAAATATAACCCTCAAGTGTTGATTGGTGTCAGAAACTAACCAGGTTTGTACAATATTATTGTATAAAAAAAAAAATAAATACTTAATCGTCTAAAAGTGGGAGGAAGAGACACTGCATATTCTGCGTTGTGCCTATGCTACCTTTGCGGTGTACTGTTGTTATTGGCTGTGGCGTTTCCTCCTGCTCGGGTCGTCGTCCAGGCGATTGTGGTCGTGGTCGGCCACGCCGGCCGTCCGGTCGAGTACGTCGTCCGGTTTGGTGGCCAGCCCGTAGGTTTTCACTTTCGAATGGCCCTGTATGATCAGGTACATGGGCCTGGCGACCGCCGCGGGTTGTCCGTGAGGCGACGGCCATGACGGCAACGACGGCGGCGGGTCCGTGACGGCCGACATTTTGGCCGTCGCACCGGTGGCGCGCACCGGCGTTTCGGCGGTGGTCACCGTCGTCCGGTCGATTTCCTTTTCCAGCAGCACCTTTATGGCGGAAGTGGACGCCGGCAAGGGCGGCCGGACGACGCCGGGCACGGTGGTCAAAGTCGGTGGCGCCCTTACCGCAGCCGGCGGCGGGTGTCTGCTCTCGGCCAACGAGGTGCCAATGTCCGTCGCAGCCGCCGCTGGTCTCGCGGTAGTGGGCGCGGCCGGAACGAGCGACGTGGACGGCCGCGAGTACGGCGGGGGCGTCAACATGGGCAGCGGCGTTCGCGGGACGGAATAATGAAAACCGCCGCTGACCACCACCTGTGGAGCAGGTCTCTTGTGCAAATAGTAAGTGCCCTCGGCGGCTTTGCTCGGGTAGTCCGTCAAGAAGAACCGTCTGTTGTTGTAGTGGATCGCGGACACGGGCGCGGCGGCGGTGGAGAGGACGGCCGAGTACGCGCGTTGATTGGTCGCAAGCGAAGACGGCGGCGGCGGTGGCGGCTTCCAGTAATGCACTTTTTCCAGCGCTGGAGGCAAATAGTCGAACGTCGGGTCGTTCTTCAGCGGATCGCCGCGTCCCAGTGGCGTCCATTCGTCGAAATCCATGCGCGGCGAAACTATGCTTCGGCTTTCCTTCGGCCCGTCAGAAGCTGAAACAAAAATGTACACATTGCTCAATACTTGCTCGATGCACTGCGCACAGTGTGGTATTTATATTAGGTATTATGTAAAAAAAAGGCTGGCCAAAATATATTTTTTTAAACCTATCAAAACGCTATTTTTGTAAAAGTTTAACATAATAAGAAGACATAACAAACATTTTCAAAGAGCATTATTGATACAAATATGGGACCTGTAACCTGTATCTGCGTTATATAGTTGAAAAAAAAAAACAATAAAATTTCAACATTGCTCAATGTCAAGTTTTATTGAAAAATTGTCCATACAATGTGCCTAATAATGAATGCTGGTGTAGAAGCGTTTAGATATAAATAACTCAACATTTGCAGAGTAGAATAAAAAAAAACTTAGATAAAATTATTATTTTTTACTGCAATTTATTAATGAGTTTTAAGTAAGTATTGTTGGCATACCTTCCACGCACAATTATTATTTTACAAACTTTTAAATTAAACAACAAATGTGTATTTTATGATATAAATGTTTTTTTTTAAATACCTAGTAAATTTACAACTGTTGCAATAAGTTTTAAAATGTATCCAAACACAAAAATCCCACAAAAATGGCCGACGTCGACTTCAACGTTATTATCACTAGTTAGCAAATCTAGTTTATCATATTATGCAGGTTAAGTTAGCGGTTATCAACCAGTCAAAATGATTAGTACATTATTCCAAATTTAATTGAAAGTTAAAGAATCATATTATGCGTCACCATTTGAGTTTCAAAAGTCGCTTAAAAAAAAAACCAAGTTGTAGGGGAGTAAAAACAAAAAAAAATAGTGAAAAATTGAGATCACACTGTATAAAAACAACATGAAAAGAAAAAAAAAATTAATTTCTTATCAAACCCTACATGAGATATCAGTTAGTGATAACTGATAAGGGATTAGGGATCAGAGATAAGAGATTAGTGATAAGAGACAAAATATAATTGATAAGAGATAACAATGAGTGATAACGTGCCGTCTTATGGTAATTATTTTAAAAAAATCTTAAAAAAATTTTAAATTTAAAAAACATTTCTAGATGCGCCACTGACCCCGGTTCAAATGCAAAGTAAAACACACGGTAGATAACGTCTGTGAGTTTGGGCTGCTGGTCGGTGTAGACTTTCTTCTCACCGAGAATCGTACACGGTTAATTTTGCCTGTAAATACACGATTGGACGATAGAGCTGTCATCGATCTTGACTTGAAAAAACTTTCTACGTAGTCACTCGTTCCACTGTGCAAGACCACACCACGTGGTAGGCAATAGGTGTATACCATCATCGTTTCAATACCTATTAACGTTGTAATTTAAATCGACATACTACTACCTACTCTCATAATGGGTACCTACATATAATTCATCATATCAGGTTTTACATAACGTGTGAATTCCATTAAAATAATATGGTCGATAAATAGATAACTAATTGTATCTAATTAAATTTGAAAAGAAAAAAAAACGCCCATTAGCTGTGCACATCATTTGCCAAGAGTCGATAGAACATTGTAACTAATATAGTGTTATATTAATCGAATATAATGTTTGATACATTGTAGGTACATACATACAATTATTAATGCATAATTTATCTAATGAATAATAATAGCGCTGGCTCTGGTTGTTAGATTCGTTCGATCTATTTAATAATTAACATAAATGTTTTATTGGAATATTTAAATGTACGTTTAATTGGAATATTAACAAACAATTTGCACACCTATATTGAATATGTACACTAAAAAAAACAATACAGTGTGTTTAAATAAATATAGGTATTCTTTTGTGATGAATTCAATAATTATACCTAATTTGTTTTTTGTCGTCCAACGGTCATAAGATTGCAATTTTTTAGACTAGGAAAATTTTCAAGGTGTGTAAATATATAAAAAACAAATGTATATTTTGTGGTCAACATTTTTTTCTGAAACCACCAGGTCGTGCTTAACCTAAAACCACAGTCTACGCTTGTAAACAAAAATTATACACTACTAGTTAAATCCGAAATGGGAAAAGCCGTGCAGAAAATAAGAAAATCGCTTGTGCGGAAAAACTTTCTATGAAATTATTTTTAACTACATAATATTAATATGTTATTCTGGTTTCCTTCGGGTCATAATAGTATAATATACAATATTGTATAGTTTTTAAAAAATATAGCTTGTACGGATTATTTTGGCTTTTTGCAGAGTTGATAACAGTACATACTTACAGTGTTGCCAATATTATAAATAGAAAAACTCACGACACGTTTAATTAACATCAAACAAAATTAGGTTAGGTTTGGTTTGGTTAGGTTAGGTTTGGTTAGGTTAGGCATAACTCTTGTAGTATAAAATACCTGTAAATTGTAATATTGTATACATTTTTGTTATACAATTAAAATGTTAATTCCTAAACAAAAGTGTAAAGAAAAATAACATTTCTTGCTCGAAAAAACATTAACCTGGAAAATGCAGAACTTAAGCACACTCAATTTTTTTTAAATTTAAATTGCGCCTACGGTTGTATAATTGTATAAGCGTTTTGAGAATACTTTCAATAGATTACACGAGTCGTAAACCTTTATGGGGTAGATTTCTTTTAACAATATTGGAACTTTCTAAATATCCTAATATTCGACGGTAGTGATAATTAAAATAATATCTAATATTATATTGTCGAATATTACCGATTTTTTGTTTGGAAACGGCACATAAATATAATGAAAAATTTATTACCGGTTGACATTAAACCTCTAACCGAAACGGCAAACAGGTTACACACGGTTAAACGTTAAATTATTATTATTTAAATATTAGTGGAAACACTTAATACATTTTTTTTTTCGTAGACGGATTGGATTATTGCCCGATTAAAAAACCTCAAAGACCTAATCCGGTTTATTATAATCATTACAGCTATAATACCGGTGGTTAAATAAATAAAAAACTGTGTTTTATACTTACACTTTTAGCAAATCCCGTAACGCCTTTCATATATATATATATATATATATATGTATATTATAATATTGAATACTATCACAACCGAAAAAAATATAATATACTTTATAATGATTTTTTTTTTGAAAAAAACGCTTTCCGAGCCGGTACTTTCTCGATTAGTTTTTTTTTTTTTTACTATTATTAAGCAATTAATCCATTGAAACTTCAAAATTAATTGCCAAGTCGTAAAGGTATGTAGATTTTCTTTTGATTTTTAATTTTTGGAGAACTATTTTAAATATATAAATATATATATATATATTGTTTTGTTGTTAAGCGATTAATTCGAAAAGTTATGAAAATAACAAAATCCGTTCATTTATTTCAGAGATCTGCGTGGCTAAAGAAAAAATGTGCCTACCAAAAATTGACAATTTGTTTATAATTCATATTTATTGTATCATCCCTTTCTATCGTCGACTTTTTATATATTATATTATAGTTTAAGAGAAAATTAAGCATTAATAAAATATAACACACACAGACTTTTTTCAAATTCAAATCATCATTTATCATCAAATCCGATTTACCTGTGTACCTGACAAATATCTACCTTCTCACGGCCAGATAGATAACTTTATACACCTACCCACTAACCAAAATGAATGACCAAATTGAATGCATTTTTTTTTTTTTTTATTAAATTTTTGGCTAAGAAACATAATATTAAAAATAAAAAATAAAGATATATAATATACTTATTAGATAGGGTTATGTTATAAAATTTGTATACCCTTCGGTAGATGCAGTTGTATTACACATGGTAAGCTAAATGGACGCCACTGCTTTTCACTGTATTAGTGTTTATTAAGGCGCATCGTATAGGCAATTTTTCGGTAAAAACAACATTAAACATACATATTACCACAAGAAAGCAGTGTCTATTTCTATAATTGAATGGTAACGGTAGACAAGGAAAAAACCAACAGTCACTTTTTAAAAATGGCAATTTTGTTGTTATACCTATTGTTATTTTGATACGAAACGAATCTGTTCTTCATTTTTAATCACGATTGTAAACAAACATTTTAACATTTTTTTGAAAATGTTCCAAGTATTTTTTTTAACATTTTAAAACATTTTTTTAGCATTACTTAAACACGTTTTTCTTAGATTAGAAAAAAGTCACTATGCGTTTTAGCATACAGGATTTATTTTTTTGTACAAAAACATGCGTTTTTTTTAAGTTTCAAACGAACTGTTTTAAATTGTAACACTAAGAATACTAAGAAAACTGGGAATTTTTTTAAACCAAAATAATTTTGAAACTGTGCCCCACAGCCTTGAAAAAAAAAAAAAACTGCTTGCTTACCGGTAGGTTCGCGAGCCCAGGTGCGGCCGTTGGCCACGGCGGTGGCCGCTGCGCCGACGGCCACGGCGATTATTTTCAAAACGAACAGGTTGGCCACGAACAAGCGCAATTTTTTCATCGCGGCAAAAACGTTTGAAAACAACACAAAAAAAAAAAATCGACCAAATGTGTCTATACTTGCACAAAGCACTCTTTGGCGGTTTCGAAGGTACTTAGACCGAACGTCGTCGTGGGCACGAGGCCGGCATTTTCCAACGGGGGTGAGATTCGGAGAGCCCAAAAATAAATAGTCAACACACACAGTACACACAATATACGACACTACTAGGTACTCAATAGCTGCTGCCGGTAGGTACCAGTATACTGCACAAGCGTACGCGCACAACAAATGCTCGTGCAAACACACTGTGGTAACATCATACATACACACACACACACACTGTAATATTATCATATACTGAGCCACTTATTGGCCGGTGATGAATACCTTCCGGCCGGAGCACCCCCCTCCCCTCCCTCTGCCCCCCGCCCATCGACGGGGGAAATCACACACACACGTTGCCGGCGCCGAAGGGGACACGCGCGCGCGCCCGGGCGGGAAGGGCAAGCCGGGGAGGCGGCGGTCGGATAGTTTGTGAATGAAATTGAACGTTTGACCGGTTGACTCTGCTGACTCTCTCTCCTTACCACCGGCTGTCCGTTTGTATTATATTATTATTATTATTATTTTATAGTCTCCGTCCGTTTTGTTGTTTCTCACCGGAGACGCATGTGTGTGTGTGTGTGTGTCTATAATGTAAGTATATCTGCCGTCTTCGTCTGCTTGTGATTTTTTTTTTTACCAGACTGGTTTTGCATTATACTTACTCGTACGCGGGTCTATGAGACTATAGGTACCGCGTCTGTGTCTGTGTCTGTTTTTTTTTTTTATTGAAATTGAAATCGTTATCTACACACACACACACACACGCGCGCGCGGAATGACCAGAAGGGAAACCGCGGAATAGCCGATATAGGCTGAAGGGTCACTTCCGGTGTAAACGAAAAAGCGACGACCGTCGCTAGACTAAAGACCTATTTGATTCTAATATGTTATATTATATCTATGTACATGTATATATATATATATATAATAAACTAGATTGATAACTAGTGATAAGAATTGAAGTCGGCCATTTTTGTGGGTTGATGTGTGTTATCTTTGTCGCGGTGTTATCATGAACCGTGTTATGTGATAAGGTTAGGTTAGGTTAGGTCCTTTTCTAACCTATTCCTACCTTCCCTCCCGTCTAGATATCTTATCTCTTAACTCTAATCTCTTATCACATATTCGCACGTTCCGTGACGTGACGCAAATTTTGGAACGGTTAGGTTAGGTTATAGTATTATCAAGAGATTTGTTTTTAAAAGTTCCTATTCGATTTCAGTTGTACACTAAAGTTAGCAATATTTTAAAATTTAAAGAAAGACTATATGAACAACCGCCGCCATTAATATAGTTGAAGTGGTGAAACACTTAAATGGTGACTTATCCGAGCATTTGATAGTTTCTAAAAGAAACCTTCAAGGCTTCCAGGGTTTCCAAAATGGAATACTTGTCGATCTCGGGGGTTCGGGCGACAACCGCTGGACGTACCAAAGGGTTTCTAGCATGCTCAATTCCAGCACATAGTCCATCTCAATTATCTCCACAAACAACCTGATAAACATGGATTTGTCTTCTGGGTTTGCCACCAATCTGATAAACCGCCATATGGCCAAGTCGAAGAACATCAACTGTTTTGACTTGACGGCCAAATAGCAGCTCAACAATCCGTAGACCTGGCCCACTTTGGTTGACAAGTTCTCCAAGTTGACCGGGTCGTGCAGCACACCTCCAATACCGTACCTCAGACCGTTCGCCTCGATTCCAAAGTCGTCCAAATACTTGGACCAGCCAGGGTTTGCTAGCATGTTCTTTTAAAAAAATTTCAATCAAGAATAAGATCTACACGGACAAACGACGAACCGATAGATAGATAGATAGATCAGGACAGTCGAGTAGTAGTATGATAGATGGGTATTGCAGTACGTGTCGGTTACAAAGGTGATAAACGTCACAACAGCCTAAGACAGAGCACAAGCGCATGTTTACTTAAGTCAAGACCGTGTTTCTACGTTAAAGCAACATAGAACATATTTGAAAAACTCTAGTATTCATAGGATTTTACAAAAATAATAATCGGTGGGTGATCCCACATTTATATTTAATACACAATTTTAGAAAAATAAATAGTAGTCTAACGTTTGGAATCTCAGGGGAGATATTCACTTGCAATGGAACAACCAATAAATAAACAGTAAAAACAGTGATGTTTAAAAAGAC